CTCAAATCCTCCCAGCGGGCCAATAATGTCACTCATGCCACCCAGAACCTGCTCCCCCAAACTCCGCCCCCCACCTGCCTAAGGCTCTGGGAGGGAGTTTGGGTGGGGGAGGAGGTCTGGGGTAGGGGACTGGAGTGCAGGAGGGGGTATGTGGTCAAGGGGGAGGGGGGCACGCTCTGGGAGGGAGTGTGTGGGAAGGGGGAGGGGGTGCAGACTCTGGGATGGAGTTTGGGGGCGAGGGAGCGTGTGGTGAGGGGGTGCAGGCTCTGGGAGGGAGTTTGGGGCAGGGAGGGGGTGTGTGGGAAAGGGGTGGGGATGCAGGCTCTGGGAAGGGGTGGAGAGTTGCAGTGCTTACCTGGGGCTCCTAGGCAGGGCAGGCCGGGGGGCCTCTGTGCGCTGCTGCCCCCAGGCACTGCCCCCACAGCATCCCAGTGGCCGCAGGGGCACTTGAGGCCGGGGCAGCGCACAGAGACACAGCCCTGCCCCTGGGCCACAGGGATGGCCGGCAGACACGTGGATTGAGTGGGCAGGAATCTGCTCAGCACCACTGCGCTGCTGGTGGTGGGCGGGGCCCCAGGCCATTTTAAAATCGCTCTGGGGACACGGGGGAGGGAGGAAGCACCCAGAGGCAGCAGGTGGGTGAGACCCGGCCCCAAAATTGCTGGAGCCCTGCGGGCCACATGGGGAGGTTCTCGGGCCGCAGATGGTCCGCGGGCCGGGAGTTTGAGACCCCTGGTGTAAACGGAGCCTGAGATAATGAGAAGAGATAGGAATCCAGTAGAATCATGTATTGAACAAGCCTACCAAATACATAGAATATCAGGGTTGGAAGGGATCTCAGGTCATCTAGTGCAACCCCCTGCTCAAAGCAGGACCAATCCCCATCTTGAGGTGCAGAACAAAAATAGGGGAGGATGGAAACAAAGGGTAAAGGAAGAGAATACTAATGGGAAGGCACGCATGGCCTTTCAGTAGACACAGTCCTGGCATTGTAAATGGAGAGTTCACACTTCGGTCTTGTCTGCATTACAGAAACGTGCACTGGTCTAAACACATCACTATAATTACCTGGGTGCAAATGCCTAATGTAGACAGAGGGCACGTTACGAAATGGAACCACACTGCTAAATCTCGGTATGTTGCACTGATGCAGTTCATCTAAAATTGGAACTGGTTCAACTGCTCGCTCCTAGTAGCCAGGGCCTCAGGTTCTAGTATCAAGCGACTGCCCCTGACGTTAGCTGCCAGGATGGTGAGCAGGGTGAGAAGTGTCATCTTCTGTAATAATGTGCCAGAGCCCTCAGCTTTAGAAATCAGACTCCACTCATGGAATTACTCTCTCAAGTGATCAGAAGCTCAGCTTCCAATTACAAAGTTTCCAGCCCTCATTGTTGCAGGGAAAAGCTTGAAAACATGAACCCTAAACACCACAACACCAACGACAAATTTAATTCTTAAGATCTTTAAGCCAATCTTGTCAGTTTAGGGAGTTTAACTTATGATTTTTGAACACTGGGAGTCAATACTGAGCCAACAGAGATTGGAGCAGAGGTGTGTAACACATCAGCCTGCCTCCATAAAAGGCAGATAACTGCATTCTGTACTGTTAGCTGGGATGGCACCTTTATTATTTGGTTGCCACAAACCCAAGTACAGCTGCAGCTTCTTGCTGAATTTCAAGGGTATCACTGCACTAGTCTAGCCTGGTGTGGTAAAGATGTAGGTAACTGTGTAAACAAGGTTTCTTAGTGTTACTTTTAGAAGGGGCCTTCTTCCAAAGCATATGATACACAATTTTACAACTATGAAATATTTCAAACAAATTCAACTTTATCCACCATCTTCACTGTATTATTTGATTTGATTTCTACTTTATTAATAGCGGGTATTCTCATCATACTTATACAAAAGCAGTTTTCAGTAGAAAAATGCTTTTAGTTTCTAATTGCAGCCTAAGTCCATGCCAAATTTAAATTGAATTGCAGAAAGTCAGTGTGACATCATGGAAATTATTTAGTATCTTCCTTCCTGTTTCCCCACTTTTAGCATGAGGCAAAAATGAAACTAGACTTCTGGCTCTAACTGAGGCTTCTATAATGGGACATGAAACATACCCTCACTACTACTTCATTTGCCTCTCTCCAGTGCATGAGCAGTAGTTACTTTAAGTTTCAAAATGATAGGAAGCACTATAATTTGAGTAGAGCAAGTTTTCAAGGGAGCGATGATTCAGGCTGAAAAATAAACCAAACTAGTAATACAGTACGTAAGCAGACAGGCTACGATTTTCAAACATGGGTGCATAAAGGCACCTAAAGTGACCTAATTTTTACCGCTCCCGAGCACCCACAGCCCCCATTAACTTCAGAGTTTTACATACTTCAGTGGGGACTACAGTGCCCAGCAACCTGAACAAGCAGGCGGCTTATTTAGGTGCCTTTGTTTGAATTGTTTGCTCATAGGTTCTGAAGTCCATGTTAAGCGTATTCATTTGAAATTAACAGCTGTAATTAAGAAGGTATTGGCAATATCTAGAAGGCGGGTTTCAGACATAGTGCAGAATATTTTCACTTTATGTTTCCCCTTTCAGCCTTCAGTTATCTTGGGTCTGGGATCTGTCATAAGTGCTACACAGGTAGAAATGCTTACCTGGGCTATGCAACGGGCACTATGACTACAGCTTTCAACTGTATGGCCCCTTACTACAATCACATCCATCAGCTTTTGCCTATGCATGTACACAGACATTTAATACTCTAGACAATTAATGAAGTTATTAAAGACTGAATGCTGGAGCTTTAAAACCTTGTAGGATTAGAATTAGCCTCCCTTCTGTACTGATCCATCTGTAACAAGTGCTGAAATGCCTGGAAATTAAAGGAGTATGAAACTCTGCTCTGGTCTGGTCCAAAGGCAATTTCTGTTTCTGTTCTTTAAGTTAAGGTAAAAACCGAATTCAATCCAGAATCACAGGGGCTTTGTTTATTTCACAGATGGCACATTGGGATGTGCAAAAGACACTAAATGCTCTAACGGCTGATGAAAAATTGTCAACATGTGGTGGATGCCTTCCCTCCTGTCCCCCAACAGCGATGAGACAATGAGAAAATGAAATGGAGTGGTTGGTGCTCAGTTTGTATCTGGGAATCTTCAAAGCTCCAGGGATAGGCATGAACCCAGCAGCTGAAATGTACTCCAGTTAGCACTGAGCATTAACTGACACCTAGTGGCTAAGCATGATCTCAAATAAAATCCATTAAGTGCAATGTTTTGAAGGTTAATTCTCTCTCTAGAATTTTGAACCCCTAGACCATCAGGAACAAGACTCTTGTTTAGGTGAAATGGACTCCCCTCAGGAGGAGATGGAAATATTCAAGTGTGGGGCAGACTGTTCAATATTTCTCTACAATAAAAAATGTTCAGGATTCTGGTAACAGTTATCACCAATTTTTAGGCGCAGACAAGCATTTTAGAGCATGATCTTCCCTCAGACCCAAAAAGTGACATACCTCATTGGAAATGATCGATTTTCCACACATGCTATCATACTTTCCAGATGTTGACCTATTATAACATTATACAGAGTGGATTTATATGCAATATCTGGATAGTACAAATTCATGCAATTAGTTTGTCCGTATGATTTCTCTCTTGTATGTGACTCACACCTATTTGAAACAACCAAAGTGATCCTGTCACTTCTGACAGAGCAGTGATGAAGACTGAATGATGTGTACAGACTTTCATACAGCACTGCCATAAGCCATCATATGGACAGATGCAATGCACATAAATCTATTTTTTAAATATAACTATTGCATTGGTTTTCCTTTTCAGTTCTTGTGTTGGAAGAACATAAATTTCCCAAGTCTCCGCAGCAAGCTGGATATAAATTCTGCAGTTTCCATGTTATCTGATTTTTTAAGTTCTATTGATTTTGTGCCACTCCCACATTTTGAGTATTCACTCTTATATAGATTATTCCATTAACAATATATAAAAATGCATTGCTGAGAGAAGCTGGAAGGCTTAGCAGCTGTGCAGAGGGTAGTTTAGATTTTTGGCATGCAGGAGGCAGCTGAGGCATGCAGAAGGGATGCACCACTTTTCTCCTTCTTAGAGGCAGAGGCAGCGTTGACTCACAATTTTTGAGTGGTACTTAAACTAGTTCCCCATTCCAGCAACCCTTTAGCGACAGCTGCCACGCAAATGGCCAGTGTCCCAATATCTAGCACTTCAAACAATTACGTAGAAGTTGATTGAACGTTAACTCAACACTTCTATTATAATGATCAGTACTGAAATACTTAATGGTTAAATAATGAAATGACATCAGCAGGGTTCAGAGTTAACATACAAATCTAGCGGAATGGGGCAGTTCACATGCATCTGACTATACTCCATTTACAGAATCAGGAAGGCAGCACATACATCAATTTCAATTTGATTCATATCTGGAAGGCTTTCTTTGCAACTACAAGAATTAGAAACTTAGAGTGGTCTTTTCAAAGGGGCTCAGCATGAACCTAACTCTGCTCCCATTGAAGTCAATGGTAGAACTCCCATTCATTTCACTGGGACCAGCTGGACGCACACTGAGCACTTCTGAAAAATCTCACAGGTTAAAAAACAAAAAAAAAAAAGATTCTACAGCTCTTGGGGGAGCATGACTGCAGCATATCTTGTGGCTTTAGAATTGCGGAACCCATGTGGTTCTGAAAAGATCTTGGCAGTGACTTTAAAATATTTCCTCTGCTATATATTCCAAGTTCATATACATTTATTATACCAAATTAAACTAGATCCGTCAAAAAAAGTTTCCTCAAAGATGTAATAAAGAGAGACCTGTAAAGTTGGATTTGTGTCAGAAAGGAATGAATGGATTGTGTTTATTTAATCTGAATTTATAAACACGCTAAATCATATTTTACCTATTTTTTTTTTTTTAAATTATAGCTAAAACAATTTGCTGCAAAATACACCAATTTATACTGCATGGGTAGTCGTGAAAACCATGAGAAATTTATTTCTTTCTGCAACCTGGAAATAAGATTTACCCATTTGTGCATAATGCAGTCATCCCCAAAAAGAAATTTTTACAATACTCCATATTTACTCTGTAGAGCTTATCACATAGCCAGCATTTTACATCTCTTATGGTTCGTTAAATTTTAAAACGCTTACATTTGTCTTTTACAAGATGTGGGGAGCAATCAGAAAGGACTACAGGTAACTTAACTCTCAACATACTAGGTCTTACAACAGCTTAGTTGCTTAAGTGTCCATAGCTGGTTCTAAACGAATTAAAGGGCATCATCCAGCAGTCCTCATGTAAAACTCTCATATAAGTCAATGGGAGTTTTGCCTGCATTAGGACTACAAGACTGGACCCTTCTCTTACATAAACCGTATGATGCCCTGATAAAACATACACTCTTTACTTTGAAATAATGGAACAAAATAGAAGAAGGGCTCAATTTAAATTTGTTCCTCATCCACACACTGAGATACTGACCATTTCATAGTCCACTTTATTAATGCATACTAACGGTCAGGTGAACGAGTTCATCTTTTATTTATTTATGAAAAACATATGAATTGAGATAGATATCATAGGAAAAATTAGTTCAAATATACAGATAGTATTGTCCAATCAGCCATTAAGGAGAAAGAACCAAAAATCATTATTTATTTTTTTCCAAAAACAGAAAATTAATGAACTACTGTAGGTATTTTTCTTCATCGCAAAAGCTGAGATGCATCCAGGCACAGTACAATTCTACTTTACTGGGAAATGTAGACGGCCTCTAAATTCCTGTTGATTTTTTTAAAATCTGAATTAATCCCTGTCATTTTTTCAGCATTGCTGCCTCAAATTTAATCCTTATAATATATAATCAACCTTTCCAAATCTACAGTCACTCTTTGCTTTAAGTCAATTCACAGAACTGCTGAAAAAGTAGACATTTCTATCTAAAAGTACAAAAAGGGTTTGTATAGAAGGTACTTCTCTTATACAATTATATTACACAGCTCAGGACAGTCCCAGCAAGCTCTTCTCCGGACTGCATGCTTCTGACTAGATAGGAAAAAAGTACAAAGGTGAAGTTAGTTTCATTGCAGCTATGTATCCTACTATATATACTAGTACTTGAGAAATTTGTGGACATCTCTTCAAGTCCTCATTTAGGCTATGATTCATGAAAGTACCCAAGCACATGCTTTCCTGAATAAAATGGGTTTAAGTATGTGCTTGAGTGCCCTCTTAAAACAGGGTTTTACCCAGGCATTTCACTTGATGTAAATTCTCTGTTGAATCCATTAGGTGAGTACAATTGTAACGTTGCTAGAGTGACACAGAACCAGAGACCAAATCCTGCAGCCCTTACTCAGACAAAACTCCTACAAGCTTCAATGGTAATTTAAACCAAATGAGGTCTGTAGAATTTGGTTAACAGAAGTTACAACAGACCTTTTTACATCGTTCGGTTAAGTCCATTTTCCTGAAAATAAAGGATTATTTCCAACATTTTCTAATGCTTTGTCAGGTCTATCTTAAATATTTTAAACAATGAAATTTCTACCATTGAAATACTGCTTGACAGACTAACAGATCTCAGATATGGAAAATTTTTATTCATATTCAACCTCAAATTATCAACTTTGTGATGAATATAGTCAATAGCATTTTCTTACTTTTAAAAAGGGAGATCATAGTACAAATGTACTAGAAAATACAACCCATCTTTAGGTCAATCAAGTTGACAGATGTTACAAAAGTATCAAAGCTCAAAACTAAAAAAACTTGGTTCAGAGCTTTTTAATAAATTCAAACTTCAAAAAACTAGTGCAGATGTAATAATTCTTAATATTTAACATTTTTTCCTGAATGGTTTATAACAAAGTAAACCCTAAGAGTAAATGATAACTGCATATTTTTATTTGTTGGCATAACACCATAACTAGTACAGTTTCAACTGCCACCAGAATCTTGTTATGAGAACGAGAAATGGAAAAACTAGATAAATGGTTAAACTAAATAAAATAAGAATTACCCTGAATCTTTGTCCCAAAACTTGAACTGAGATTTTTCTGAGGTTAAAAAAAGTAAGAAACAAAACTTTTAAAATGAACAGCAATCACATTTTTTTTTAATCAAAGCTAATTATTCCACCATGTGTTTCTCAAATTCAGGCAATATTAAAAGGAAGAAGAAATACCATGCTTAATTACAATTTTCAAGTATATAGGCTATACCAACAATAATAATGTCCTTTGCACCCAAGCATGTCAAAACTCTTTACAAACATTAATGAATTAAGCCTTAGATCTCCTTAGGCATGTAATCATAATCCATTTTTATTTATAGGTAGTACTATGGCACTTATCAAACTTGTATCTGAATGCCTCACAAGCTTTAATTAATTAAGCTGCATACAACCTGGGTGAGCCAGACAGACAAAGTGACTTGCATAAAGTAGCAGGCCAAGGCAATGACAGAGCCAGTAAGAAAGCTCTAATCTCCTGACATCCAGCCTTGTGCCTTAGCCATATGACGTGCATTCCCTACAAAGAGGTGTAAAAATACTATTCCCTAATAACTATTAATTTTGACAGATACTAAATTATTTTACCCTAATATTGATAAGGTCTACCACGTTGGATCTGGCTCCTGTTTTATTTGAGAACTTTCTTCTGTTTCTGCTACATCTGTTGAAAAAGAAACAAGAATCTTTTTGACCAAAGTTTCATTAATATCTATGACAGTATTGCACTGGAAAAGTCGATAACTGCTGACTGAATATTAAGAAAATATCCATGGATCTTTTAAAATTCAAATGATGAAAATGATTAAATAGCAAAAAGGCACTCAAAATGGTGCACTTTTATGGAAATTATTTCTTTTCTCTGGTGATGGCAATCATTCAGTCATGTGAACTGTGGGGAAAACTGCTTTGAATAAAGACAGACATCATTTAGGATATAAGCCATCACTCAAATACACAGCTACATAAAGTCATGACTTATTAAGAACAGTTCATAAACATTGTAAAACAAAATCGGAGTAATAAATTTTTACTGCAAACCAACACTTCATGCAGAACCAGGAACGGAAACAAAAGAGAATGACTTGTGTTTTGATTAAACACCACTTTATCTTTTTAATTTTATTAGAAGTGATGCAACCTTATTCAAAATCACCAAAAATATATAGTTATTATAATAACTGACAGCTGTCACTTACCTTCTACAGATACTTCTATTTGGCTTGGTTCAGCTGGCTCTTAAATGAAAAAAATATATAATAAAATTAACAAACATGTAGTTTAAACAATGTGCTTAAGATAAATATTACAGCAAGGCTTGGGAAAGCTAGTGAATATTCTCTCCTATGATCACTTTCAAATATTGTGTCCAAGATACAACTGTGACCTGCTGAAGATAATTAAAAAATAAAATCTGATGTCCCTTTTTAAATTAGAAAAGCCATCACCACTTTCCCTTCAGAGTATTAAGTGAGATTCACTGCTCTGTACATATGCATGAGTCTTAATGGATTGTAAAAAACTCATTATGCAATGGTGTGCCTAAGGGTGCATGAATGGAGAACATAGAGTTTGGTCTAATATTATCAAAACTAACTAAATATACACCTTGACATCAACAAAACAACAGCTTCAGGGTCACAGTTATGTCATCTTACATGTGGGAAGAAGGGACCTCTTTAAAGTAGTTTCTAAGCAGGGTGGATTGATTTAAATCAGCAAGTGGAAAGACTTGATTTAAATCATTGATTTTAATCAACTTTTCCATCTGTATTTCAGTTATTTTCTAAAGAAAGGTGCATTCTGACTGTTGATATAACCATTAAAACATGTTAATTTACAGCTAAATAGAACTTTTACACTAGATTTGGTACATCTTTTTGCTATCTACAGGGATACATTATAACAATATACCTTAATTTAAGCAATTATATAGCATAATATTTTCAGATTCTTGTTAACTGTACATTTTTATTATGTCAGAAAAAAGTGAATGACAAATTGCTTATTTATTAGATAATTAATTTTTTGCTCATGATTGTTATCAAGCTGCAGTAGGATCGTAAGTGGAATTTCAATACACGGAACAGCATAAAAATTTATTTTTATTAAACAAAACTGAAATGTTTTGATATGAGATCCTTTTGTTTCCAAAACATGTTTCAAATTTACAACTAAATGTTGATTAAACAGAGGGATTAACTGCAAACAGTGAATTAAACCAATTATTTCAAGTCAGCCTGGGAAAGTTTCAAAATATGCCTAAGTGAAAGTGACTGGAACTTAACTAAGTCTCTTGAAAATAAATCAGACTCCTAAGTTACTTAGACCACCCTACTGTGCCAATAAGCTTGATCTCAAAAGTTAGAAGTAGGGGGAAAGCACCTTTCTTTATAAGAAAAGCAGCCTTTAACTCAAAGTTTTTGCTAAAGGCTCATGATACAGCACATTTATTTTTTATTTAATTGTCTGAGATTATAAGTAGTTCAGGCCTTATATGTATTAAATTCAGATTTCATTTTAAACAGGTTTATTTTTAAAAAGAAAAAGATTATAATTTAAATAATTAAAACATCAATTTTTTTTAAATCAATTTTTATCTACCCAGTGTGTAAATGATCTGTATTTTCCATATAATCAAGTGTTAGGAAACCGTCAGGATTTTTTTTAACCAATGTAATTAAGTGTCTATGGGCACATAGATAAGCTTGACTGTAAGCAGTTCTCACTAGTTGCCATCTACTATGTTCCTGTAGCTCCTTTGTCTTGCAAATGTAATAGAGTCGTCGGCATTTTCCTCTGTAATTACAGCTCCTGCAGTAGTGGTGAGTTGCCCCTTAGGACTCAGAGAGTTTATTACCTGGCCCTGTTTCTTGGTCTAGCATCTCACTTCTCAACAATTATGGTCTAATCCCACTATGTGGAGAAGTCTATTCTATTCAAAGACATATAACTTGGAAAAGCAGTTTTTCAAAATGGACATCAAAAATGTATCCGAAACTTCAAATTCACTTAAAGCCAAAAGGAATATTGCTTACCTACAACTAGTTAATCACTCAGTAGTGTAAATACAATCAACTCTGCTAAATTCTTTGTGAAGATTTAGATATATGAACAGCAGTTACTGTGCTGCAGAAGATATGAACAGAGACTACAGGGGCAGGATAAAGAAAGATCTCACTGCCTTCATCCTAATGTATTGCACCCACATTTGTTCCTTGAAAGTGATGGGCTAATTGGTTTGGTTAAACTAAGATCTGACCAAAGTATGCTCAGACTTTTGAACTAAACACAAACACAGAAAAAAAGGAAGGAAGGAAGGGCTTTGTATGCTGCCTCTCATCCTTCCTGCTTACTGGTGACATCAAGTCAGAGAACTAACAAAAACTCCCAAAATTAAAAAGGGAGCAATGTTTCTTCCTACTCAGATTTTAAAATCCTTAATTACCAGAGCAGACACTCAACATCATCAGCCTTTACATGCCTAGAATACAGCCCATCATCGGGCAACAATTTCATTAGTTAGCAAGCCCTCGAATCTGACTCCTATTGCCCTTCAAAAAGCGATTTGTTACACCTCTATAGTCACCTTGTACTACTGGTGCCGGAGCTGGAGCCGGAGCCGGAGCTGGAGTCGGAGCCGGAGCTGGTGCCTTGGCTGGTGTTTCTGATTCAGTTTTCTCCATCAACTCTGAGAGAATAAATACGGTCAACTGTTTAGGTTTAAAAAGAAAAGGCCCCTCAAACAGTCAAATGGCATTTATATTTTATTGTACGTTCAACCCTGTGAACCTGTTACTGTGAATATAACTTATTTATGCAACTGAATAATATACCCTCTTCTGCTCGATACAAGTGTTTTCCACTTCTCTTCCCTCAGAACCTAAAGATTCATTATAATCCCCTGCGCTAACATCACCCTTTATAATGCTAAACAAGACTGGTTTTCAAAGGATAGTATAAAACGAATGGCAAGACCACTAACATTATTGAAGTAATAGACAATTCTCTCTGTATCTAGACACCTCAGATTGCCTTGACCATTGAGGACCTGATGGCAGACATTTGTATGGGAAAGAAATAGGACGTGATCCTATTATCAATATCCTTCCAGTGGTGGAAGAAAATCAAGTGTCTATCAGCTGTTCTCAATTGCCATTGATGTGTTATGCTATTGACTCCTGCAGTTATATGTAGCAGTGGACAGGTTGCTCTTAAGTGGGTCCTTTCTGCCCCTCAGACAATTCTCTGGAACCCCTGCCAGGAACTGCTCTTCTGAATGGAGGGATCTTTCAGATGGTGACACAGGATATATGGGGCCAATGGGACAGTCAATGAGAAGATCCTGAAGGCACTGTAGTCAGTAGAGCACACTGCCACTTCCAGCTGATGCCGTTGAGCATCTTATCCAATGTAAAGGGGAGACTGGGCAATGGATGAGAGCTGGCTGAGGCTCAATCCAGGTGAGAGAGAAGTAATGCTGGTAGGGGTTTGCCTTCTGAATATGTAGTATACCAATGGCTCAGCGCCTGACAAGGGATCTAGACTGTTCTCAGTGGTACCAGATGACAGAACAAGGAGTAATGGTCTCAAGTTGCAGTGGGGGAGGTTTAGGTTGGATATTAAGAAAACTTTTTCACTAGGAGGGTGGTGAAGCACTGGCATGGGTTACCTAGGGAGGTGGTGGAATCTCCTTCCTTAGAGGTTTTTAAGGCCAGGCTTGACAAAGCCCTGGCTGGGATGATTTAGTTGGGAATTGGTCCTGCTTTGAGCAGGGGGTTGGACTAGATGACCTCCTGAGGTCTCTTCCAACCCTGAGATTCTATGAATCTAAGGGATGCTGTGCTACCAGAGGTACTGTTTTTCAAATGAGGCTTAAAACCAAGGTCATGACTATTTTAGATAACTGAAAATACCTGGGCATTTTTCTCAATATTTGGGTGACCAGGCCAAAGTCCTAATTGGATAATTACATTCTGTCTCCCTAAATTCTCAGCTGAACACTTAATTTTTCACTCCAATGCCTTTGTGTGGCTATTGAAAAGCTCCCACATGTCAACTGCTATTGAAATGCAGCCACACCTGAGGTGAAGAGAATCTTGTATGAGTCTGTAACTGCCTTCATCATGTTTCTAACATGCTCTGGGATCCTGCAGGATGAACCGTGCAAGTTCTAAGCTAGCACTGAGCTCGTGGTTTTGTAAGTCAGGCCCTCCTATAAATAAACCAAGCATGTTTAGATTTCCTGACTAAGTACTAACGAAATAAGTTGTCCATATTTAGCAGTTAATGCTCTGGACCTTCTGCCACCCTGGGGTAATGCTACAATCATCTAGCATGATACATGAGTAGAATTCAAAGTGACAAAAAATGGAATACTTACGGTTGTTAATCACAAGTCCTGGAAATGGTCTGTGTAAAAAAAAAAAAAAAAAGGAATACTTAATGTTTCTAAGATCACTTTTACTGTACAATCTTTCCCTCTTATGGAGGGCCTCACCTGAGGGTTCATAACGGAGCACAAAGTAAAAGGAGGGACTGCAATGTTCTAGCATAGTTCCGCCTGGAGCAGAGTGGTTTATCCAGCAGACTGTGTCAATTTTACATCAATAAGAAGGTGCAAGTCCTTCCTTCAAACAGTTGCTAAGAGAATCAAATCTTCACTTGGGCCAAAATACCGCATGTTCTTATATTGATCAAGACTCATAAGCTCAAAATCAATCTTGATTAAGAGCTGCAAAATTTGGACCTCTCTAAATTCACTTTTTAGAAACTCCTTGCTTGCTAACAGAACTGCTGGATTTGACCCTTTGTAAACCAGAATAGAATCTAAGTGTTTATGTTTTCACTTTCTTGATTCATCATCTGTATAGATTCCAAAAACTCATTTATTCCACTGTATAAGCAAAACCATTTATTTCTTGATTAAACTAACTTCCAGAGTAATCATCATATTTTATCAAAAGAGAGTACCTGAACTGAACTGATTTTAAGAGGGACACATTCTCAAGAATGTTAGGCAAAACAGTAACTGAAAATCTTAAACTTCAGGAATCCAATCATGTACTCACGACTTTTAAAACATAGCCATGCTGATCTGGAAATTTAAACTACTACAGATACACAATTTATTGTTAAGAGCAAACAAAGCTTGTGGACCTACAAATTCTGTTGTGCAAAGTTAAGAATTTGGGATCTAACAGCCTTGACAGCAAAGTCCATAACTGTTTGTATAATCATGTGCCGTACCGTAGGAGCAGTTTTCAGCTGGTGTGCTAGAAATCACTTACAAGTCAACGTAATCAATTTTCCTATGTATGCTTCCCTCCCAGGGATTTTCATGTTAATGCTGTGCACCCTCAATTATTTGAATTTAAAATAACCTCAACTGCTTGTTATTCAAAACAGAGTCGACGCCTCCCCACATTTATTATTATATTGAAGATTTCCTCAATTTTCTGAAACATTGACTTTTCCAAAAGTATTGGCTATTCCCATGACATCTGGATGATCATGGTTACATTATATAATCAATGACAGTAAAATGACAGTCACATACCGAATGACAGTAAATTTGATAAACTCTGCTGATTCCAAAATCCTTCTCATGGAGCTGATTTCCAGATAACTGGGAGCTTTAAATGCCACTCCAGGAGGCATTCCATCCACCACCACACAGCCAGGGTTTATGGTGATTTTTCTGTATGGGACTTTCACAGGGAAATTCATACCGATTGCTTCACCTAAATAAGAGACGTTGTGATTTGAACTGTGACCCAAGTCTACAAATCTCAGTTTACAAATACTCAGGGCAGTAAGAAAATCAAGTGATGTGAAAACAAGCATTTAAAATAATCTCAAGTGCTATAACCTTAAAATGCACTTGCCATTTAAAACATTACATTGGGTAATTTTCAAATGAACTGTGTTCCAAGCTACACTCATGAAGGATACGGTTCATGAGAGTCACTAGTATCCAAGTATCACAGTTCAATATATAAAGGACTAAAATTTAGGTTTTATAAAAATAAATTATAGAAAAGAATACTCCGAAACATTTTCATGAAAGGAAAAAGTGTTTCCTCTCACAATTAAAGAAAAACTGAACAGTGAAAGGGTAAATAAGACTTTAAAAACTCTTTCAGCTTTAACATTTTAAGGTGTTAACTGATCAGGACTGTGTAGCTTTAAGCAAATTCTGGGTTTACACGTAAAATATTTATTAATCCAAAATCACAAGGATTTCTCGGTTTAAGAAACACAAAACAATTTAGCCCTCAAACTAAATTTCTGTGGAAGCTGGCGCATATAATTACAGATTAAAAAAATTACACATTGGTTATATATACAGTGTAAAAACGTCAACTGTAAAGGATATTATATACTATAGGTTATACTTATTTAAAACCAAAATGTAAATCAGTGGTTACTTTCAAAGCTATTTCAAATCAGAAATAAAAGCAATTACCAAACTTCCTGCTGAAGAGGTCATTTACTTGTTCTCTCAGTTGTCGAGCCTTTTCTACTTTTGATAATCTTTCACTTTCATCATCTGAAAGAAATTGTTAGTGTCAGGATTTAGCAGGTGATTTTCTTCTCCAACTAGTGCAGTACTGACTGCACAAGAGCTTATTTAAAACAAGACTAGATGTTTGCTTTATTAAGCACTAGGTAATCAGAACAAAAACAGGCCTTTTCACTGGTTTTTTGGTTATAGCAGTAAATGGAGGATTTTGTAAATATGTGAACTATAAAAAGCAGCAGTTTTAAACAAGCCTGAAAATGATTTCAAAATATTTACAGGACAATGTTAGATTAACTAAAGGAGAAAATGTATTGAATAAACCCATTATTTACAAATCATGATTTATTTTAAGTAAATGTGGTGACAGTGTAAGACTGGGGACTGAAATCCTCTATTTAGCCACGGTGCAAGCCTTCCCACACTGCATAACCAGTGTAATTTATCCCTGAGCTGAAGTGACCACTTCTGGGGAAGAGAATCTCCATGATCATTTAATCCTAATTGTGTCTACTGAGACTGCCAACAAGGTTGCAAATTAACGCTTAATTTAGCATGTGATGAGGTGGGGGGTCGTGCAGATGTGACCACCTGCAAATGGGAACTGAACTGAGATTCATTTTTCTGCAGATTTCACTAAGTAGTACACACAATCATAAAAGTTTAAAAAATCAGTGTGACAACAGTGCAGACAAAGGTCACTTACGAGCGGTTATTAAATGATACTCTTTGTAGGCTGTACTATATATAAGACAGGATGAGTCAAAGGGCAAATCACGATAGGGGGCAGGTGGGAACATTAGGCAAAGAGCTCCTGCCATGAAGAATGAGAGCTATAAACAGTAAGCAGCAGTAAAATCAGAGCACCCACCTACCTGGTATAGTCACTTGAATGATGTTAAGATCTTCAACCCCTGCGGCTGTGTTCACCACTGGCTTTGTTGTGGTGCTTGTTGTATTTGATGTATTGGATGAACTGGTTTTTTCTTAAACAGAAACAGGAATTTAAAGTATGAGCAAAATGGCTCAAGATGGGCTAACACCTTTCCAACATATTAAATAAAAAGGGAAACATTGGGAGAGAAATAGATTTGTGGGAAAAAAAAACAAACACCCAGCTCAGTTTCCAAAAGGACTTAGTCTAAATGCCTAAGTCCCTTGACTGTCAATGACACTTAGGCTCCAAAGTGCTTAAGTCATTACTGAAAATGGGACTTCACTTCTGAAAGTTTACCCTTCAGCTATTTCTTACAAACTACCAAAACCAAGAGAAAGGGTTAATTTATGTTACAAGGGTCTTGTTTTGTTTGCCTAGCAAGTTTTCCAATGATATTTTATTTTTAAAAAAGAATGTGTGGATATTTTCATGTTTTGGTCAAAGCAATAAACTAGAGCACTCAATTTCTAGTAACAATAGTAAAACATATTGATCAAAAGAACCAATAGTGGAATATTAAATTCTCAGCCACATAGGAAATCTTTTATAGCTGACTTTAATGGAGCTATGCCTACAACTGAGGATCTGGTCCAATGTTTCATTCTTGATCCTGCTCTCACTGACACTACCTTTACACTGGTGTAACATCACTAACTTCAATGGAGTAACCTCTGATTTAAACTACTGAGAGTAGCATCAGGTCCAATGAATGCACCCCAGAAACCCAACTTCTTCTATGGCAGGGGTAGGCAACCTATGGCACACGAGCTGATTTTCAGTGGCACTCACACTGCCCAGGTCCAGGCCACCAGTCCAGGGGGCTCTGCATTTTAATTTAATTTTAAATGAAGCTTCTTAAACATTTAAAAAACCTTATTTACTTTAAATACAACAATAGTTTAGTTATATATTACAGACTTATAGAAAGAGACCTTCTAAAAACGTTAACATGTATTACTGGCACGCAAAACCTTAAATTAGAGTGAATAAATGAAGACTCGGCACACCACTTCTGAAAGGTTGCCAACCTGTTCTATGGAATACCTGCTTTATGTCACAATTTGGGAGTACAGTATGGGCCATTAACCAGTACCTCAATCCTTTTCATCTGATTGACACAGGGAATTTTACAGCTCCCTCCACTTTGCTCCCTTGTCAAAGCGGCATTACAAGTTGGAGTCGGGGCAAAGTGGCTCCTCACATCTTGAGTGGGTGGGTGTGGGTGGGGGTGTGGGTGTACTCCAGCACTGTAAAGCTTTAGCTGAGCCACAGCCTCCTACTGATTTGAAGGAGGCACTGTAGCAGTCAGTGCAAAGGGATCTGAGACCTTAAGTGTACTAGATGATACAAAACCGACTGATAAACAAGAAAGCCATTACTGACACTGAATTGCTGAGTTGAGGAACTAGATAGAAGTCAAGAAAAGGTAACAGCTTTACAGCTCCTCAGAGTAGGGACATATCTTAATTATAGAGGTGTACCAGTGGCACCATAGTTAAGGCTGTGTCTTGATTTCTACTTGGATAAGACTTTCCAGTGAATATACCGTGAAGTTTTCAGGAATTGGTTTACACTGGGCAACATTCCTGAAGCGTTATAATCTTTGAAAGCAGCCCAAAACAGATCACCATCCAAACTCCTTAGCTGTCATAATACTTACTCTGGGGACTTTTAGCAGAGCTTTCCTTAATCGCTGCCTCGAACATCTCAGGCCTGCAGATGAACAGATTTGAACATTTCATATAGAACAGTAAAATTACATTCAATCCATCATTTCCATCCAACAGCAAAGGAAATACTAGCTGTCAAAACTGAGTGGTCAGGAGAGGGAGAGCAAAGTTAGTACAGTAATGCTAGTCAGGCTGTTACACAAAGTTAACAAGACGACTGATCATTTTGATTTTCTATCTTCATCACATATATGTCAAATCCCTAATATCTTAATGTTTTTACTCTAAAGATCGGGGTTGGCACCACCATGTTGCACGACGGACACTTGACAAATTTCTGAAAATCGGAGTTTTTGTCATCCATCAGAAGTTTGATTTAACATCCTTACTCCTTGCTGCAGTGTTGGTGACCTTTTAGGTACAAATGACGTAACTACAAAGCCTGCAGCTCCCACTAAAGGGAAAATGCAAAGTCAACATTAAAATCGAAATAAGCCCAGAACTGTGGGCTGCTCCCCATTAAGCAGGCTTTGAGGAGCATTCAGCACAGAAAAATGTTAACATATCCTTCCGCAGATCTGAAAAATCCTCTGGCAGTTCCTGGTTTGCTAGACATTTCCGTATATATACTAGTGTGGTTAGTGGAGGAATCTAGCACTTTTTCAGGGCTTAACTTTGTTTTTTAAGCGCTGCAGCTCATTTCCATTGACACACACAGTTCTCTTACTTTTTTATGATAAATTTTATCTTAGATTTGTTTCGCAGGATCTTCTCCAATCTTGGAATGCCAAAAGTAGAGGGTCGGCGGAATGGCACCCCTTCAGGTAGTCCTTCCACGTAGAAATCCTCTGGGTAGGATTCAAATAACGCAAATGGGACCTTGACAGGATCTTTAAGCCCCAGAGCTTCCCCTGAAACGAAAGAGCATGTAAATTACAAAAATAGTATTTTATCCTGAAGAAGGGAGTTAGGTTTCCAGCACTGCTGGTGGGCAGAAAGTGGGTCATGCTCCTCGGATACCTTCCACATACACACAAGGGGAAAATCTCAAGTCTGCAGTAAGTCAAGCAAGCGCCTCTTCCTGAAAGACTGAGTCCCTAACAGCACAGCTCCCTCTTGCAGCCATGTTGTCCGGCTGAGCCACAAGGAGGTACATGGCAATATGGAACTAATGGGTCTCTGGTGGACCACAGGGATGTTTGTGGATTTTTGAAGCCAAACCCCTGCACCACTCCTCCATTTCCAGCCTTACATGGAAAACTTAGGGGGAATCCGATAGTTTGGAATTTTCAATCCGCGATGTGAGAATCAAGCTCATGGGAGATAACAGGGCCCAGAGTTTGCAAGGCTATTAGAGTCCTTCAGAATCTGTGTATGAACAGCACCATCAGACACAACGTACATGCCTAAATAAGTAATCTCATCAAGCTCTAAAAGGTACGTTTTAAAAAAGGTTGACATGCTTACCACATTTTTCATTAAAAAGATTTTCAACTTTTTGTTTTAGGTCAGTAATTTTGGCATTCCAAGCCTCTGTCAGGAAATCAGAAGAGTTAGGTCAGCATTTGTATATTTGTATTGAGAAAAAAAACTGTCTAGGAATTGTGTGTATATATATATATATTTTTTAAATATTTTTATATATATATAAAAATATATATATATTTTTTAAATATTTACAATTGTTTACCGATGAATATGAAGTCAAAAATGAACAAAATGGCTACCAGACACTAAACAGCATTGAACCATTCCCTCGAATCCTAACTCATATCCACTATTGAGACTCTTCTCCTTGAAACTTTACAAAAGATCTCAGCTAATGAATAAACCAAAGACTCCACTGTAATGAATTCAACAGTGATATATTACAGTCCTCAGAGGCGCACAGAATTATCTGAGCCAGCACCCAAAGCTTTGAAAAGGCCAGACAGGCTATTTCCTTGAGAAATGTGATCTCAATTATACTAGTTTCATGAAAGGATAGATTTTTTATCACAAATCAATATTAACCCTTTTAACTCCATTCTAAACTTGCACTGAGCAAAAAGAACGTTCTTTTGTTTTACATTTTGTGACCATCATGTTGATAACCCTGCACAGGGCCAACCCACGATAGGGAGGAAAAGTTAAAATTCCTACACATGACTCTGCCCAAAATATGTCTTCTAAAAGCAGGGAACCATGGTCAGAGAACTGCTCTCTGATGACTATTGTGAGCAGCAGATAGCATAATTTTCTGATTTCTATGATCACCTATCCCAATACATGCAAACTCAAAAAGCATTTGACTCAATCATCAAATGCAGAATGAAGATATATCTGTTAAAAAAACCTCTCTACTATGATGAAATCTCAAAAACTTTCAAAATATCAAAATTAACAAAGGCTATCAAGGCAGATTAAAACCCACAATATTTACCAAAAGAAAACTCTCTTCCTCGTGGCTTGAAGCCCATATTGGATCCATTGGTTTGAGAATTAGTTCGAACATCTGTTGTTTGTGGTTTATTAGGACCTGCAGAAACGAACAAACATATCTATATCTATATAGTGTAATATTTAAGAGCGAAAGAGAGCATACCAGTAACCATCTTCTGAGAAACAAAAATGATGAAATATGGCAATTGATTACTAAGTAAAACTTAAATTTTGAGTCAACAGCGGAACAAAAATTCTGTTTAGAAGTGCTTTAAGGATTGTGGAATTAAAACATAACATACTTTAGCATCATTTAGTCATTGTCCACCCTTCTGTATTATTTGCCTTAAAACAAGTTCTCATTTCCCTCTTTGCAATGAAGGATCCAAATGTGTTGTGAAACAATCTTTGACAGAGCCTATACCTTATAATGTTAATCAGAAATGAAAAATATAACTGGTATCGTGAAGTTAAATTAAGTTTTCGACATAAGTTTTGCCCTAAGAGACCATTTTTAAAAATAATGTAATTGTACTGTGGATGAAAGGTCTTCTGCAGTTACTATTGCAAGTTACTTTTATAAGAATATTCCCTAAAGGAAGATTTCCTACCTTCTTCAACAGTCACCTCAATCTCTGGAACCTTTGAATTGCTTGCAGGACTTCTTGCTCTCTTTGAACTCTTTGGACTCAATGCTACAAATCAATAATACTGTTACTCTTCAGTAATGGACATACTGTATAGCTCCCAAAAGACAGTACTTGGAAACATCCCACAAACAAAATAATCTGACATATAATGTGTATTGTTTAATGGTATGCTTTATAAAAGCAAAACAATGCAGGTAAGATCACATACTTTAAAAGTGAACGTATTGCTTGTGAAATAAGCAGATCTGAGACGCTCATTCAATATTCACTACATATTGTGAGCACCACACAAGATAAAGACGGGTAATATCTTTGGCACACTGGTTTTAAATGAAATTTACATCTTTGGTACTTTCTATTATCTAAATCCAAAAAGTTAATTCATGTTGATATTTATAAAGATCTTTATTTTGTAAATGATCTGACAGTTTCTCTAAGAAATATGTCTTATTTTTTAAATATAAAAATCCAACTTATATACTAGATGATGCTGTTAACAGCAAAATCAATGCGACCCGAGAGCTTTGTAATTTATATTGTTTACATCCTCCAGATTTATGTTGCTGCAGATCATAAAATAAATGAATGGTATAATTAATGGGTGTGTTCTTAAGCAGATATTAATGTGTGACTTTTGTTACATGTTTTAAAAGAATATAGATTTTGTGTTTTTAGGAAAACCTTTTGAGCCAGATTCTACCACCCTTGCTCATGTTAGGTAGCACCTCTATCAGTAGCTCACACTGTTTTCAAGAGCTAAGCTGTTATTCAGTCAGGTAATGGAAGCAGAATCTGGGCCTCTGAAGTGAAGGCAGTATGGAATGTTTAACCACTTACCTTTAGTGTTTACTTTACTAGCCAATCCAGCAGGCAAATAAGAAGTGACCAGCTCTGGCCTAAAAATGTAAAATATGTTACAGAACGCAGTCTAATAAATTACAGATACAAAAAGTAGCACAGTGAATTATTTACATATTTATTGGGATTCAGACAAATTTATATAAAGACATTGTAACAGTCTTTTAGATCATGAAGTATGGGCGAGTCAATGTAAAGTAATAGGAAAGAGTTTCAAAATCTAAGGCTATGTACCTGGCTTTTTGCATTTACTCTAGGGGGAAAAATGCTTCAAGATGCAGAACGACTATCTTCCCTAGATACACATTGCATGACACACACCAATGAGGCACATACACCCCATTTTGTGAAATTTAATCAGAAAGGCATGTCCTTTTATCAGAAAAAGTGAATGTGCCAAAATAGTTCGCTTTCTTTTATCTATAAAAGACATTAGACAGCATTTAAAAACCCAAACGCCCCAGGAAGAGTGTCATATAATTTTAGCCATCAGCAGTTAAAAATAACCAAATGATAAACTTACTTTTTAACAATAAATTTGATTTTGCCACTTCCACGGACAATTCTTTCAAGGCGTGGAATTCCGAACCACGTGGGACTCCGGAAGGGGATTCCTTCTGGCAAGCCTTCCACATACAAGTACTCAGGGTTCGATTCAAACACAGGGTAGGGAACTTTCACTGCCTCTGAAAGCCCCAGGGCTTGGGCTGAAAATAAAGATGACGTGATGAGCTCAGATGGGAGGCATTTTAGTTCAATTGTTCTTAGTAAGGCTGGCATTTTTATTAGTGGCAGCAGCACCCCAATCGGAATCAGAAAAGGATGAGAGAAGGGGTTTAAAACAACTTTCCCACCATCATTCCACAGTTTGGAATCAGTGCATGTAGTGATTTTGCGGATCTCACTAGGTAGGATCTTGCAATAGTTATCAATCTAGGTCCACAGTATCTGCTACTGTTTTATAAGAGTTCCTTTCACCTAAGGATCTGAAAGCCCGTTATGAATTTGCATAAATATAATTAATCCCCTTTTTAGAGAAACCTAGGCACAGAGAGTACAGATATGTCTTGCCCCATGTCACATAGCAAGCCACTAGCAAGAGTGGGGAATAAAACCCAAGACTCCCAGATCTGTTGTTCTGCCACATTTTTAATATTTGTTTTAATTTATTGTGCACCACAGTACTCCTTGTACAGAAAATTGTTTTAAAACAGAGTAGCACTACAACACAGTTTACTTAAGGTTTAACTCACCAAATTTTAGATTAAATATCTCTTCCACTTGCTTCCTTAGTTTTGTGATTCTGACATTCCAATCTTCTTTGACTGAAAATCAAAAATAGATGCATCTTGAGTTACTGAGTTATTAACGGATATTTGGGAAAAAGTAGTAGTCCTAAACATATTTCTTTTATCACTGGAGTCTAACTATCAATGCAAAAATTGTCTTACTTTCTAAGATGTGCAATCACAATTTGGTATAGAAGGATTTACATGTGTACTGCTTATTAAGGTAACTGAAATTATATACAGAATATGTATATAATGATGGGAAAATACGTCTAAGCATGATTATAAATCTCTATCACTGTCACAAGTGTATGAACTTGTCCTTCAGGACCCTGGGCAGTGGGAAGGAATTATTTTAGTGGCTTTGACACAACCAGAATTATTAATGATTTTAGCTCATGAGATTAAAAATCTTTAGAACAGAATATGAAGATTTAGAGCTTTGTCATAAATTTTGACTATCAAAAATATTGTAGTCTTGCTTTTATTATAAATGAAAGTTGGTGACAGAAAGCAAGCCAGGAGCCAATTTTCTAAATTAGGTGGAGAGGGAGGCAGGGAGCATGTTAGTGGAAATAAAAAATACTTAAATATACTCATTTTATTCCCCCAACAAACAGTGCAATTATAATTATTGATCATATCCATTGAGGAGAGATAACTTGTACTGTAGAAATGAAACCAGCATTTTTAAAAAATGCATATGTATGAAACAAGCAATATGTGCACAGGATCACAGGCTCAAAATCATATTTCAATGAACAAATTATCTGGTCCATTTTACTTCTAACCCCTTCAATTATAAAAAACAAAGAATGTTCATAATTTTCACCATTTATGTTGTTTACTAATTTAAAAGAGTTCACATGGACTCCAGTCCTGCAAGCATTTAACACACAGTCTTATGCATACAAGAAAGTATTTGCAAGATTGGGGCTTTAACTTGGCAAGTGAAAAAATATACCGAACAGCTTTATTTTTAGATTTCTAGTGCCACCACACAAGAAGCACAAGGGAATATCGTCTGGGCTGAACACACATGAGGGGAAGTTTTCTATCCAACCAAAGAGCACCATATTATTCTTACTAGCCAAAATAATTCTTGAATTTTTTTAAAATACAAAATCAAAATGTTGTCCCCCTAAACTATCTGGTATAGAAACTATCTTTATTTATTGCTCTGCAAAACTAACATTCTGAATTGTTCGAAAAAATTGGTATGTGTGTTTGGGGACACACAGTCTGCTTTAGCAACAATGGCACAGGGGACATTCTCCAGTTTTGCCTTAGGACTAATTGCCAGGAAAGAATGTTGCATCCAGTGGTTTTCACTAGCGTTTCAAGCCAAACTGAACATTTTTTCTGTGTTTATTTGTTTAACTTGTGCCCTGGATATGGCCACAGGCAAAGTTTTGTGTGTATTTACAGCACTAGTCTTTCCCAGCAGCTGATGATAGATATAGTAACCAGTGGGAAAATCAGCATGTCATTCTGATCACTCTATTAGGCTTTTTTCTTTTTTTTTAAATGGTGATTGCTGCATGCCAGTTCTTCCAGAAGTAAGATGCTATGAAAACAGTTTCTTTCGTCACTGATATTGTTCATACTTATTGTTGCAGTTATCTTGTCAACCCACCAGTTATGTCGTACAGTAGGACAATGAGCAAGGGCTTTGGCAGCAAGACTGAAACTAGATGCTGCCCAACTCTGCAGTGCAGCTTTCAACAGGCTACCCTATCTCCTCATACAAGTCTTATCCCTGAAAGCCAAGAAAAATCTCCAATATGCTTTCATAAGACGTGGATACTATTGAACTGCAAACATTTGGAGGAAAAAGCGACCTGCATTCTCTGGTTAGGTAAAACCTAACATTTTTTGTGGTTCTATGGATTGAAAATTGTGAATATAGCCTCTTGACTAAATCAAACTGTGCTTTATAAGTCATTAAAGTGATCAGGTACCAATCTGCACATACATGGTACCTCTGACCTGATGATCTCAACATGCTTTACAAATAAATTCAGTGTCATAACACTGCTGTTTGGTAGATATTGCACCCAGGTGGGTAAATGGGGGCAAGAGAAATCTAGTAAAGCAGGTTCCTAGACCTGTGTTACAACCACTAGGGGACTCACCCTCTTATATGAAACAAGTTCTGAACTTCGTTGTGTACATAGTCATGAAATACCAACGTACTTACAAAATGACATCCCTGATCTATCATTTCCTAGCAGTTCCCTTATTTTAGGAGATTAAAAAAAGGAGGCCTGAAAGAGTCATCTGGGTTCTTTTTCCTTCACTACACTTTATGGTTCTTTAAAAAAAATCATTCTGGAGAAGGAGAGGCACTTCTCACTTTTAAAAGATGATTACGATCACACAAGACATTAAGAGCCTGATCAAAAGCCCACTGAAGTTTATGGAAAGATGCCCAGTGACTTCCATGGGCTTTGGATTAGGCCCTAATAGAACTTCTTGAGAACTTAAGTTTCCTCTAGGTTTTAAGTATGAACCATTCAATTTCTAAAGTGTCAGAGGTTAGCTGGACACCAACCATAATGTGTTTCAGATCATTATTTTCAAGGATGGCCATATTGGTTTCTTATAAACCTTGTGAAGAGTATACCAGTATTCCCAGAAGCAAAAATAATATTGTGCTTCATTTTAAAAAAAAAAAAATGATGTAGTGCTCCAAAAAATTTCTCTCACACCAAACACCAACCCCTCACTCCTACACGTTTAAATATTTTCCTACTCAGTAAAGTGAGGAAGAGAGTTAATTGTCGGTCAAGATATATTTATATCACACACACTTGCTTTTACAAAGATTGTGGTTAATTTCTAATTTAGCAAAAATATGAAAGATTCCTTCAAGTACAAATATATTAGTTTAAAGAGAGTTTCTCTTCTGTATTTATACATATTTGGTACCACTTTAGTCATGCATAGAGGTCAGAAAAATTCATTTCATATATTTATTCTGCATATGGATATATAGATGGAACTTGCATACAGTATGCATCCTACCTGGCGTATTAGATCTTGGTTGAGTAACTTCTGTTGGACTGAGAGTTAGTAGTTCTGGCCTGTAATTAGAGAGCAGGTTATCAAATTGTTCTATACAGTCTCCGAATAATGATTTTTTGTTTGTTTTATGAATCTATGTTTTGATTTTAATATTATTTATTTCAAATTGTCACCAAAATGCGCTAGTTGCTATATAGATACTTAGGAAGATTATGGCCTAAATTGCGAACACCAATTTTCTTTGCAATGTGAAATATCTTCTGTCTGCCTGGTACCAGAACTCAGAATGCTTTATGGTATTATAAAGCTGAAAGCTTTTCTTTTGTTTCAATCAATCAATCTCTTGGCCTTTTCCTCTTGCTTTTTCAATTTATGCACTAAAATGTTCACCTACCTTTTGATTACAAATTTTATTCTGTTGCCCACTTGAATAATCTTTTCCAGCCGAGGAATTCCATACCAGGACGGACTCCTAAATGGAATGTTCTCTGGCAGACCCTCCACATAGAGATCACTGGGGTGTGCCTCAAATTTCTGGTATGGGACAGCCTTCGGCTCAGTGCTCCCTAGGGCCTCAGCTGTTAGAATAACAGAAAATTCAACCAAATAAATCCAATGATCGATCAGTCCAGCCAAACATTTTGGTTCAGCAAAAACTATCACAAAGTCTCTGGGCCATCACATAAACAGTAACATTAGGTCCTAGCATAGCAAAGAATATCCAAACCCACTGGACTCCAAGTTGAAGACACAGAGTTTAGTGGATTAATCATCATAGTCTCTCATCTGATGTTCAGAATGTAGCCCACCAACAGTGTTGGATTAAAGATTAATGCCAATGGGTTTGCACAGGAGAACAAGTCAAAGCAGGATTGGGCTCAAAGCGATTTGAACTTATTTTCATACAGTATCACACTTTCAGTAGTTTCATTCTTGACCTGTACATGTTCCTAAGTAGGCTGGGGGAAACAGCATTCAAATTCAAAAAGCCCAGAAATGCTCAGCTATAAATCCTAATAGTGCCACTGATGTTATACTGTACATTGAAAAATAAGCTGACTGTTTGCTTTACCACAACTGGAGAGAAAACTCCAAATTAGAACCATAAAAGGTAACTTTACAGATGAACTTTACTGTAAATTTACCCTTTTGAATAAACATTACAGCAATAAAAGATTTATTTTTGCTTAACAGTCAGGATTTCAAGCATCTGGAAAATTTTCATTCAAGGGTTTTATCCACTCTCCGGGGTGGGAGGGATAGCTCAGTGGTTTGAGCACTGGCCTGCTAAACCCAGGGTTGTGAGTTCAATCCTTGAGGGGGCCACTTAGGGATCCGGGGCAAAATCAGTACTTGGTCCTGCTAGTGAAGGCAGGGGGCTGGACTTGATGACCTTTCAGGATCCCTTCCAGTTCTAGGAGATAGGTATATCACTTATGCCTCAGAAGGATCCAATAAAGCTGTCTTAAGGATAGCTAATATGAAATCAACCTACTATGGATTAAAAGCCACACAAGAAGTTGGAATACTAGCAGTGTACTTACCAAATTTTTTACAGAAAAGTTGATCTACCATCTTCCTTAATTTGGTGATTCGGGCATACCACTCTTCTTTCACTACAATTAACAGTAACAGAACAAAGATAACTTTCCTTAATTATTTTGATTAACTGCAACATTGTAAAGACAAGTGACACAAAGTTGCTATTCACTAACACTATACAACAAGGCATGGGTTATGTTTCCTCAACCATAAGGATATCAAGAGACGCGAGTACACCTCATTTGTCTTCATACTACTTCTATTAAACCCTTCAGTAAAACAGCAAAAGGGGGCTGGATTTAAAAATCACAAAAGCAAGGATAGTTATGCTTTGCACTCCATCCTTAGCGTATCCTATGCCTACAACCACTTGAATTTGGTCCTCAAAGCAGGTGGGTGAAGAGGTTCACAACAGTGGGTGATCTTACTTTGCGGGTGACATACAATACCTTCATGCAATTGGTTAAGGATGGAATGACATCCTTAAATCTTATTTTCTGTGCTTAATTTAAACCCTTATTTTTTTTAACAGGTATTTAATATTTGTTTTTCTTTAAATACTAGCACACGGCCGCACAAAGAATGATACACAAGCTTCACCAATGCAGACTCTTACTCCTAGGTCTCATGCCTCTACCATGGATTCAGGAACTCTCCAATATTCCCAATTCCCCCTCTCAGATCAAGGTTGACAATGTGCATTTTTGGGGTTTAGGAGGCTTATATGAGCTACCATCGCTTCAAGCTACATTACAATTTATATAGACTCTTAACATCCAGCTTCAGACAATTAGCAAAACCTGACCCTGAAGTGGGGACAGGTGGTAGGATAACAACTTAATCAAAACACATATTGAGGAAAGTAATTTTCCAGTTATCATACACACAATGCTATACGTATATTTCTTAAAAAAACCAAAAAAAACAAAAAAACCCCACACCCACGTAATCCTTTGTCTTCCAGGTTTGGGGGAAAAGAAACGGATGGATACGGATTATAATATACCTCTCTAGCCACTAAAATGGCATCGACTGTGGAGATAGAAAGCCTGCCCTGTCAAACTAATAATCAAATGATAGCATCTCTATGTGGCCAATTTTATCTGATAGGTTAGCTCAGTAAGACTCATAAAAGCACAATGTTCCTTGAAGTGAAAAAAAAAAAAGATACAGCCAGTTTAGCTATTCACATCTCATTTTACCTTCACCACCTGTGTGCAACACATTTGGTTTAAATTCAGGTTCATAAATGCATTGTTCTGGGCCTCATGTTATATTTTCTAAATACAATAATAATATCTAGCTCTTTAGTGCTTTTCATCAGTAGATCTCAAAGCACGTTACAAAGAAGGTCAGTAACAAAATCTGTATGTGCTTATTGTAAATACATTTACAATTATAGATATGGCATAAATGGATACCCAGCATTTTTTGCCCATTCCCATTTTGCAAATTTTGGTGTGGTATGTTATCAAGGATTTTGATGCCTCTTTACGAATAGAAGACATTTAATCATATTATCATATTTAATCATGTTATGCAATCCAAAAGTTTAGAAGTCCTACCTCCTGCAGCTGGTTTGTCCAGCGGTGCATCTTCTCGTGTTGAATTCAAAAGCTCATGTCTGAAAAATTTTAACAAATATACATTCTTCAGCATTAACATACCTTTTGATACATTTTTACCAAATGGGAAGTTATAGCATACAGCTCTGTAGCAAATTCTACTCTTAGTTACCACTGTGGGACCAGAACAGTATTCAGAATCCCCAGCATACTGGTTCTAGTCAATACCAAACCCTGAAGGCTATTACTACAGCTTGTCAGAAGAATTGTTGACAAATAGTGTTTTGCTGAGATATGCAGTTTTGTTGAAGCCAAAACGTTTCACAGACACATACAAACTTTGATGGGAAGGCTTCTGGTGTCCAGGGTGGACTCTTCAATCCTCGTCACAGAAAGGGGCATAAAGAGACTAATCAAAAACCTGACCTTTTTGATGCAAAAATGTTTCAATCTTAATAATTATTTGTATTACTGTAGCACCGAGGTGCCCTAATCTTGGATCAGGACCACACTGTACTAGGGACCGTACGAACACAGAACTAAAAGTCTCTGCTCCAAGGGGCTTACAGTCTAAGTCCATACAATTTCATTTAGCAAAAATGTTCAAGGAAGTTCATTCTTCAATTTTTTGTTTTTCTTCCCATGCGGAACGAAAAAAGATTTTCAAGCCTCCAACGTTGCCGTGATAAAGAATGCTTGTTTTCCAGCCAGCTCTGGTTACTACACACAATAAAAGTAATGAAAAGGTAACAGAATTGCTGTACTTTATTAAGGATCCTTGGCTTGTGACCAATTTAGGAAGGGTGGAAGATAGTCTATGAAAATCAAAATCTCTGTTCAGAGATTTTTTTTTTTCCAAGTGAGACAAAGGTAGCAGATCTCAAAGATAATAATCAGTTGCAGAACAGAGTCTGTGCTCTCATTGCAGCCTCATCTTACTTTCCTGTGGACACCCACAAAAGGCTTTGCACAGATATCAATGAAACATATAGCCTGGAAATCTGGGAAACTAACACCAATGCTGAAGGGAATGCAACATATGGAAACAAAACATTTTCCTCTTCCGCTAATTATGGTCTTGATCCAAAGCTCATGGCAGTCAATGGAGAGACTTCCATTAACAGCATTAAACATGTAAAAATGGCAGTTGTCCTGCATCTTAGCTTCATTTATATTACTTGCACTATCACATCTGACTGAAGAGAACCACCAAGCTATTAATGGTGAATGTCACACACTACCAGTCACTGGACAACTCGAGACAATATGCTGATAGGAAAAACAGAAGAACAGAACCATAAAAACTTGAAATTCACACCTAGATCCTCAGCTGGTATAAACTGGTATAGCCCCAAAGTCAATGGAGTTATGCCAAATTACACCAGCTGACGATCTGGCCCATGACATTAGAGAAAATTCTTCACCAATTGGGATTTTGTACAATCAGCATTGTGGTGTCAAATCTGTGCCCGAACAATGCTTTAGTGGTTTGACAGAAAAAATTACTTCTTGTTAGCACTACAAAACCATCTGTTGGTAGTAATCAATTTGGAAATTCTCAGAGACAGTGAAGAATTTTGGTTAGAGCACAGTATGAAGAAAGGAAGAGTGAAAATAAATGCAAAAGCTCCTTACTTCTTAATCACAAACCGTATCCGCTCCTTGGCCAGCAGTATCCTCTCAAGGCGTGGGATCCCATAGGTAGATGGCCTCCTGAAGGGAATTCCTTCTGGAAGTCCTTCCACATACAAGTCTTCTACATGTGACTGGAAAAGCGGGTACGGGATAGACACTGGACCTTTTGCTTTTATAGCTTGAGCTTTAAGATAAAAGGAAAATAAAAACATTAGCATAGCTTATCACCTTATCTAACCTATTTGCTTGGTACTAATCTGAATAATATAAATACAAGCAGATAAGCACGCAATAAATGCTTATTATCACTCTAAACACCTAACCACTCTATTTATGATGTATTTACAGTGGGAACGTCTCCCATTCTCTATCTCATATACACCCCACAAGCGAAGTCTTTTTTCCTCTTTTCCCATTTCTCAGCAAAAATTTAGCAGCAGACTCTGCACCTGTTACCGCGAGGTTTCATCTTACTTTGGTTTCATTTTCTAGTACATTGTAGAATATCAAATAATCAAAACTACAAACCAAGTACATTTTTCGACGCATTAATTCTGAGTTTGCCAACATGGTAACAAAAATTCAGTAATTTATAATGGGCTTCTAGTCTTTAGAATGACTTAATGAAGTTCTACTTTATTTCAATAGTTAAGGAATTGACTGATGGAGCTAACAATACATTTCTTATAAGGCCAAGAACAAAAATGTGGTCCTAAAAACAACCGGTCTTCAAAAATAAAAAGCCAATAGCTCATTCATTGGTAGCACAGTCAGAAAATAACCTCAGTATGCCTTTACAAGAAGAAGAACATTAATCCCAAGAATTCTCTATTACCAACAAAACTGTTTGGTGTATTTTGTTGTTTGGGGTTTAGCTATGAACATTAGAAGCAAGAAGGAAGTGTTTTATGGACCAAAATCTGCTCTGGGGTACCTGCATATACAACTCACTGACTTTAATGATGTATTATCTGAGGGCAGAATTTGGCCCTGAAAGTGCCTGCATATACAACTCACTGACTTTAATGATGTATTATCTGAGGGCAGAATTTGGCCCTGAAAGTGCAGACAGTAACGCAAAGAAACCATCCTTCTAAGATACAATCTACACTGCAAGACAAACCATGAGGCTTCTCAAGGAAATTTAGAGTTAATGATGACACTGCATACATAGCTACAAAACCAGTTAAGTATTTCAAGACACAATGCTTTATACAGTCTATATTGAAGACTAGCATCTTAGAACAGATAAGTTCATGAAGGCAGAGCACCATGTACCAGCTGCAACTCTTTTCCTAACTCCTTGTATTGCCTAGATATTGCACAAGACTCAGTAGTGAGATTTCATGCTGTAGACCTGATCCTGTTCCCTTTACAGTTAATAGGAGTTTTGTCATGGATTCCAGTAGAATCAGGATGAGGTCCAGTAAGTGATCCACTAACTACAAGTGCAGCAATCTGAGTTAAGGCCACATGAGAGTAATCTCAGCTGCGTTAATGACTTCTGAAAGTATATGGCGGCCAGGGCACTTTCTCAAGTGACATAATTCAATGTGGACGCAGCCAGTCAGACATAGGCTGTGTTCAAAATAATCAAGTTAGCTGTACACCAAATGCTTAATCACATTTTATATATGGGGAAGAGCCAATCGAGTATTTAAGGGCATTTAAATACACATTATTTGAAGTCCTACTTTGAAAGAAACATATTATTATTATTATGTCAGGCAGCCCAATGTGCAAGTTACACAAAAGAGGAAACTTTGAAAATATTGTTTATTAGTCTTATATTCTGCATAAGGTTATAAATATGATAGAAAATTGTATGAAGATAGTCTAGTTTGAACACAGTTGTCGCTAGTATGGTTTCAACCCTAGTATATATAGGCCCAAACTGGAACGGGACTAACTATATATTATGAAGTGACAAAGATCCATCTGGAGAAATTTTTAGGAAATGGCATATTCAGAGATGATCTCCACAGAATGAGTCACATGGCAATCCATGAAACTTGCCACATATTATATTAATCCTTCATTAGGGAAGTTTTATTACAATACTAGAGGTCTGCCAAGTAAATCAGTGGGTGAGTGGTGAGAAGCATCACAAACCCAAGGGAACAGCTTCAGAAGGAAAGAAATGTTTGTAAACTACAAATGGCCATAGGGAAACAAAGATAAAGGTGCAACACCAAAATTCCGAAGGCTCAGATCACTACAAGGCATCAACTAAAAACAGATTTAAAATAATAACGAGAATGCTATTTAAATAAATAACTAACAACAGGTAAGTTTTTACAAGTCGTAATCTTTATTTTTCTTAAATCAATAAAATGTTTAGCAGATTCTCTTATCTCCAGACAGAGCAAAGACATAATCAGCAGTACAGTCTGCAGTGAAGTTTCTTGATTTGGATCCTTACAAGGTTTGGTATTCAAATTCTACCATAACTAGATTTTCATTTTTCAAATTAATCTGTATTCGCCAGCTAAGGAATTGCGTTTACACTATAATACATTTGTACATTTACTTTACATCCAAATACAAAAAGATAATACTCGAAGTGTCAGTAGTAAATAATAATGACTGACATTTGTAAAGCACCTGTCACCTAGAAATCCTGAGTAATATTACAAAGAATAGGCACAATTCTGGACATCCACAACTCATTGAAATGTAGGAGATATGCATACATACAGGAGGACAGAATTTGATTCTGAATATAGGATCACTTTACCCTTCACTGATATGCAGCCACTTCTAGGACATAAGGTGACAGATTTTGAAGCATGCACCATAACCTCAAGTATCAATTCAGACAGATGGCTGCAGGACTGTCCTTCACTAACTGAAACTATCAGAGACTTTCAGGGAGGCTAAATGCAACCACCAAATTCAAAGTTAGGTGGTGCCACTGGGACTACAACTCCCCTCCATAGCAAAACCAGATATTATAAGCCAGATTCTCAGCTGATTTATGTCTGTGTAGCACCACTAAAATCAGGCCAATTTAGTTAGCCATCATTTGAGTTCAATGGTGCTATACAGATTTATGCCAGATGAGAATCTGGCCCTGGATATTTAATGACTAAGTGGTCACGACTCCAGTTTTGAATGACATCCAAAAAGATACTCCCATTTTTAACAGTAGATGGGTACCAGAAAAAAAATATCAATTTCAAAGAACGTAATAACCTTTGTCCCTCTGTCAACAAATGCAGTTGGTCGGCTCTCTTGTACAGACACAGAAATGATTCTGACTGCAACACATGACAATCAGCCTCACAGTCGGACACATGCACTCCCTTCTCCTTTTAGGGATCACATGATTGATTGTTTTTAAAATGAAGCAACAATCTGCCATCCACAACAGCAAAGAAGCAAATAATTACCATAGGAAGGGCCTTCCAAGTAACAGATCTAAATATTACTTTATGTAAGGACTTGATTTATTGCTAGTAAGATTAATAAAAGTAAGAGTAAAGGTCAGAACTTTCAAATGGGGATGCCTAAGATTAGAGTTTATTGGAGATCAGGATGCTCTGCATGATTGAAGAATAAAGTTACTTAGTTAGGTGCCTAACCTTAGGCACCCAAGTTTGAAAATCCTGGCCCACGTGTTCATAAAGAGCTATTTTCTCCAGCTTTAAGTCTTGTATGAAATTAAACCCTTCAGTGCTGTCAGTCCTGGCATGTTCCAGAGCCAAAAACAGGATGCATGCCAAAAAGTTGAGACTTCCGCTGTCAAAGGGCTAGAGGCAATTGTTTGGAAAGGAGTTTGTTAACACATACCATATTTTCTTTCAAATAATTCTTCAACCTGCTTTCTCAAGTCTGTAATTCGGGCATTCCATTTCTCTGTAAGGAAAAAAGGAGGACACGTTAGACTACAAATGAGACCGAGCCTTTACAAAGAGTGTTTTGCTACTGAATTCTGGAATAAACAGTATGTCTTTATAGCTCACACGCACACAGATTCATGTGGGGGTGTGATACACACTCTACATCTCAATATATATAGGGGTCTGGTACACACTCTACATCTCAATATACATGTATATCAAAGAAATAGGATAGAATAAAATGTTTAAGATTACCTCCAAAACTTGTGCAGATGTTAAACCAAGTTTAAAAAAATTAAAGAACAAAAATGGGCTAAAATTAGTCCAAAAAATGGGTTTTCTTCGACGTTTCAGTCAGCAGCTCACACCACCATCAGGGGTAAAGTCAATTTTCAGCAGCTATTGACAGTTATTTAAATCCAGAGCCTGAGAAGCTTAATTAGGAAAGCTTGATAAAGCTTACACCGAGTACATGAAGCTGTTTTGGCGCAAATCTGTAAAACTACATGGGTCAGGAGGCATCATGCCATCCTCTTCATTAATCCAGTATTTGCCAAAGTCCTGATGTTGGCTGGATTTGCAAGTCATCCATACAATTCCTATTTCTGAAAGAAGATGCAGACTGCAAGAAAGACGTTATCCAAATCCAGTTGTGTGTTGTATGGTGAACTGGACTGAACTGCAGTATTTTTAAACAGTTTAAGTCCTGTGACAGAAATTGCATCTTGTTCTCATATCAATTCAATACCATTAGGAAGAGACTACTGGCTTTTTGAAGATGGTGCCAGCTGCTGGCTGGCTTTTAGTGACTACTAAGCAAGCATTTTTGTTGCCTATATGTAGAGTAGACTTTTCTGACCTCTCCAGTTACAAGCTCCAAGTTAGACTGATACGTTTAGCCGTTTCACCTCCTTTTGCTGAAAATCATTCTCTCATGTAAGAGGAGATACGGGGTCAACTTCAAGTCTATACCAAAATCTGTTTTAAATATCAAATCTCCTATTGGAAAATACATACAGCTTCAGGGGTTATAATTGATTTTTATATGCAATTTCTTGGATGTCAAAGATACACTGTGTATTTCAAGCTTAGGTAAGAACAAGGCCTTGTCCACATGGCAAATTTTTTTGGAATAACTAATTTTTTCACGATAAATGCCCTTGCGGCCATACAAACTTTTTTTTTTTTTCAAATTATCTGGTAACTCATCCTGCACTCACCAATCTGCTTTAGATTTAGCGATTCACAGGAGAATCTCTGCTGGGGACTCCCCATTCTTAAGCACTAGTCCTGGTGGGACCTGCATGGACTGTTTTGGGAGGGTGGCCTTGGAAGTACCCCAGAGACCATCAAAGGCACCCAAGCAACCCTGGACTTCATCCAGGAGATTCTCCCAGACAGCCAAGATCTCTTTGGCATGCCAAACCCTGAGCCAGAGACCCAGGAACCAGAGAAATCCAGGCAGAAAGCCAGCCTGAAACTGCTGTATAGGGAAGAAATACTACTAAGTATTAGGTACTGTAACACAATACAACTATATAAGGAGATTTCTTAAACAACTGTGTTCCAGGTGTTGGCTGGATGCTGCCATTTTGGGTGGAGTTTCTGCCTAATCAGCTCTCCCCAACCTTCTTTTAGTGTGCTCAAAATGGCATCTTCCCTTTAAGCCCTAAAAGGTTTATTCCCCTGAAGTATCAAATTCCACAACCACTGGCCAAACATACCACTCATTGTCCCATCCCCCTTCCTGTGTGATTCTCCAAGATGGTGGTACTGCAGGGGTTAAAAGAAAAACCAAACACATTTCAAAGCACGTTTATTTTAACAGCAGATACAGTAGGAGAAAAAGCCACAGAAAAAGTAGTTTGGTTCACAATTTAATCAGTGCCCCAAGCTTTTAGCTACCTTTACATTTTATCACGTAAATTGCCAAAATTAGGCTAGAGACATTTCAAAATGCATAGGGATTATAAAGCATTCATGGCTAATTTTAATCTGACCTTCAGTATTAACCACCCCTTGGTTTCAAACCAATTACTGCAAAAGTCTACTTATTTTGTAGTGCTCCCGATCTGCATGAGTTATAAAAACAGAATTTAAAGCAAAGATAGTCCTCTGTTTGGCATGCACTTTGCAAACCAATGCAGCTTTTTTGGGGCTGCCAAGATAGATGGCATTTCCCTTCCTTTCCTGGACCAATTTAAGGCATGGGGGCACCATCCTAGGAAACATTAGCACTGCATAGTTCACTGGTTTGCCCACTGACTTTGAACAAAGCCATCCTCTATCTATTGGGAACACACCTAAGGGTAACACGCTCCAGTAAGGGTCGCCTATAGAGACGCACATCCAATTACTAGCCTGCCCCCTCCCATCTTCCATGACCCATCAATCTCCCAGCCAGCACTGATACAGAGAGGTCCTACAGGAAGGGGAAGGTGGAAAATGTCCAAGCTCACCCCAGACTGGGAAGAGCAGATGGCAATGGCATTCCAAAAAATGAGAAATATCAACTTACTGTTGTCATGGAGACCACTATCTACTTGCACCTTTTTTCTGTCCTCCCTACCAAATGAAATGCCACTGTCCTGATAGACAGGGAGCCTTAATCAGCTGAGCATCTGAAAAGTCTCTGCGTGAAGCAAAAGATGACGTGGAAGAATATGTTCTCAGACCCTGTCAAATACATCTCTGCTAAGATGCATTTAACATGAGAAACTCAGTTAAGAAATCTCCTTTCGCCCATAAAAACATCACTTCTCTCTCTCATGCACACCCACCCACCATTCATTTGGTTACAGTATATTCATTTTCGATCCATTGCACTCTGGCTTCAAAGTAGGAGCACGTTTCCCTTGACACTGTTTCCCCAACCAGTTGTGGCACATTAGAGGCACCGTCTCTGGCTATTCACATTGAGAAAAATCTCTCCACCATCAGTGAGGATTTCTCCCTTGCTCTCACAGATGCTGGGCAAAACACAGCAAGCACCTATCTCACGGGGCAGATATGGCTCACAAGCATCTGGTCTTGTTATGATATAAGACAGTTCCACTTTCCCTTCCATCTTTCAAAAGCACATTCCACTGTCATACCGTAGCTACTCAGGGTATAGTTAAACTGCATCCTTCTCCTGTCATGTGTCCAGTAAAAGGCTTCGGAAGCCCAGGAAGCAGAGGATAAGCTGGGTTTCCCAGAATGACAGGAGGAATCGCAACACCATTAACGTCCATAGTGGTCCTGGGAGCAAAAGTTCCTTTTTTCATTGGAGTAACAGGGCTGAGTTTCTACAGTTCCTGGCAATTTTGACCTTGCCAGACTACCCTATATTATTATCGGTGAACCTTCCACAGTGATCAACCAGGCCTTGCAGCACACCACGGACAAATACCCTTTTCTGATGAAGTCTGAGGGGCAAAGAATTGATACATGGGTCCCATCAATAGTCCCAATACAATGTGGGAATGCCATTTGTGCAAATCCGTCAATAACCTCCTGTGCACTACCAAGCTTTATGACATGGCCCAACAGCACCTTGTCAATAGGAGTGCACACTTCCATGAGAACAGTCCAGACAGCTGATCTGCCAACACCAAACTGGTTAGCTACTGACTGGTAGAAATAAGGGCCGGTGAACTTCCAAAGGGTTTTGGCTGTACACTTCTCAGTGTGAAGGGGAACCCCCCCTGTTGGTGTTCCACCACTGCAACTCCAGGGGGAGGCTTTGCACAGAGTTCTAGCAAAGTATCTTTTGTCATTCCGAAGTTCTGCTGCCAGTGCTGGTCATGCCAGTTCTGCATCATTATCGTGTCCTGCCCGTAAGCGTTAAGTTTGCTGAATGCAAAAGCGGTGCTCCATCGAGTGGAGCCGCTTCAGGAAAGTGTCGTGCAGAAGTAACAGCTTTATTTCAAACTCCTCCTCTACCCATGTGGCTGTGGCTGTCTCGCAACCCATCCAAAGCCATGAACACCAACAGAGAGGTGCAGCAGCTCCTTCACATTCATGACAGTCAGGATCATGGTGTTCGGCACGTTTTCTCCACGCTGTCTGATAGCAGTTTGAAAATGGTACTTGCCTCACAAAACACAGGCGAGCCATGGGAATTGTTTAGTCTGAGCCCAAATCCTAGTATGTTCTGGTAGGCATCCCACAATATGCTATGAGAAAAACCCCAGAATGTATACAGCCTAATGGCAGAACACTGGACTGAACACTACACTGTGCATCTGTCCAGCACGCTGTGTGGCTAAAACAAAAAAAAAAAAAAAAAAAAAAAAATCACAGTGCTCTGCAGACACCACAATCCAAAAGGGAAGTAGCTTAAGCCAGAATAAACAAAGCATGTGGATGCACTCTTTCGCTACAAAAACAACAAAGAGTCTGGTGGACTCCAAGACTAACAGATTTATTTGGGCATAAGCTTTCGTGGGTAAAAACCTCACTTCTTCAGATGCATAGAGTGAAAGTTACAGATGCAGGCATTATATACTGACACGGAAAGAAGGCCCTTGAAGAATTCCACCTGGACTTCAACAATTTCCACCCCACCATCAACCTCAGCCTGGACCAGTCCACACAAGAGATCCACTTCCTGGACACTACAGTGCAAATAAGTGATGGTCACATAACCACCACCCTATACCGGAAACCTACTGACCGCTATACGTACCTACATGCCTCCAGCTTCCATCCAAGACACATCACACGATCCATTGTCTATAGCCAAGGGCTAAGATACAACAGAATTTGCTCCAACCCCTCAGACAGAGACAAACACCTGCAAGATCTTTATCAAGCATTCGTAAAACTACAATACCCACCTGGGGAAGTGAGGAAACAGATTGACAGAGCAAGACGGGTACCCAGAAATCACCTACTACAGGACAGGCCCAACAAGGACAATAACAGAACACCACTGGCCATCACATACAGCCCCGAGCTAAAACCTCTCCAGCGCATTATCCATGATCTACAACCTATCCTGGAAAATGATCCCTCACTCTCACAGACCTTGGGAGGCAGGCCAGTCCTCGCTTACAGACAACCCCCCAACCTGAAGCAAATACTCACCAGCAACTACACACCACACCACAGAAACACCAACCCAGGAACCAATCCCTGTAGCAAACCTCGTTGCCTACTCTGTCCCCATATCTACTCTGGCAACACCATCAGAGGACCCAATCACATCAGCCACACCATCAAGGGCTCATTCACCTGCACATCCACTAATGTTATATATGCCATGTGCCAGCAATGCCCCTCTGCCATGTACGTTGGCCAAACCGGACAGTCCCTCCGCAAAAGAATAAATGGACACAAATCGGACATCAGGAATGGTAACATACATAAGCCAGTAAGTGAACACTTCAATCTCCCTGGTCATTCTATTACAGATTTAAAAGTCACTATCATTGAACAAAAAAACTTCAGAAACAGACTTCAAAGAGAAACAGCAGAACTAAAATTCATTTGCAAATTTAACACCATTAATCTGGGCTTGAATAGGGACTGGGAGTGGCTGGCTCATTACAGAAGCAGCTTTTCCTCTCCTGGAATTGACACCTCCTTGTCTATTATTGGGAGTGGACTACATCCACCCTGATTGAATTGGCCCTGTCAACACTGGTTCTCCACTTGCGAAGTAACTCCCTGCTCTCCATGTGTCAGTATATAATGCCTGCATCTGTAACTTTCACTCTATGCATCTGAAGAAGTGAGGTTTTTACCCACGAAAGCTTATGCCCAAATAAATCTGTTAGTCTTTAAGGTGCCACCAGACTCCTGGTTGTTTTTGTAGATACAGACTAACACGGCTACCCCCTGATACTTGACACAATGTTAAAAAAAAAAATCACTTTCCCATGGAGACAAGGCCTAAGCCAGGCTACTCACCATGAAGGAGTCCCCCTTCTTTTCCCCAGCATGGCTCCCCTTGGCACACCTTCGCTGTGTCACTTGAAGTGTGGAGAGAAACTGACTAGGACTGGCTCCTGACCTAGGACCTCCAGTTATCCATTAAGCTAAAGTGAAAGTGACCGACCTCACTCTTTTCTCAGATTTTCTCTCAAGCGGTCAGATGAGAAAATGGCTAAACTGACTTCTACTTTGTGTTATCTTATTTCTAATGTTTATATTATTCAGGTTTCCTCCTCTCCACCACAATGGCTTCCAAATGGTTTATAAAAGCTACAACTTTGGTTAGTCCAAATTTTGGCTAGAGGAACACTTTACAGGTGAACAAATACAGGTGGCTGACAACTGTTTGCTCTGCAGCAATATATCTACAAAGAAATATAGGCTGTTAACTGAATGCCTCTACTTATCTCTTCAAAAGTCCCACAACCTGATGTTATCTAGAGTCATCAAGAAGAAACTTTTTCAGGAAGCAAATGACAGAGATAAACTTGAATTTGAATCTTACCAAAATTGAATTCTCTCACTTTTCTTCTCCCAGCATTGGCAGCCTCATTTGCTGACTCAGTGTTCTTCGGTCTCTTGTTGGGCGGTAAGTAGTCCTCATCATCTTAAAAATAAACATGAGATGCATCACTGATGCTTTTATCCAGACAAGTATTTTACAGCGTTGGCACTGTTTTGGAGTCTCAGAGTTCTAATGGAAGTATCAATCAGTGCCTTATTAAGGGCCCAAATCTGCAACCTTACTCATGTGAGTACTTCTAGATTTAAAGAGAGTATCTGCCTGTGTTAAAACGACTTAGGAGAGTAAGGGTCCCAGGATGTAGCAAAATTTATTTCACATTTTCCTGGAGAAGATGTTCAATGAAGCAAGAACTAAGCGGTGTTCTGAACATATGCTTGGTCACAAAGTCATCATGGGACAGCAAAAGTAAATAAACATTTATCTGATTAACTAGAAAATCTATCCACTGAAGGTATGCCTACATTGCATAGACTACACCGGCATAGCCCCATAAGGTAGATGCATCTTACACTGCCCAAAGAAACTTTTCCTGTCAGCATAGGAACACCATCTCCCCAAATGACATTAGCTATGTTGATGGAAAAACTCTTCTGTTGACATAGCTGCATCTACACTGGGGGTTTGTCAGCATAGTTATGTTGGTCAGGGATGTGTTTTTTCACATCCTGGTCAATGTAGCTATGCCAATATAACTTTGAGTGCAGATCAGGCCTAAGTCTTGAAATGCACCACCCAAATTTAGGGCCTACACAGGACTAAAGCATGAAAGTAAGCTCTACAGGCTCTTATGGTACATTTGTCCCTGCAGAGCTGAAGAGCTCCACAGAAACAGAGCTTCAAAGCAGTACAACCCTGTGAGCAGGGCCGGCTCCAGGCACCAGCAGAGCAAGCATGTGCCTGGGGCGGCACATGCTAAGGGGCGGCACGTGCCTGGGGCGGCACATGCTAAAGGGCGGCATTCTGTCCATTCTTGGGGCGGCAGAGTCCGAGCAGTTTTTTTGTTTGTTTGTTTTTTGCTTGGGGCCGCAAAAATGGTAGAGCCGGCCCTGCCTGTGAGACATGAACGAGTTTCATTTAACAAGAGCTCGGAAAATCAGGGGTTGTTCTGAAGTTTTTAAATTCCAGTAGATTCATGGGTATAGTTGCAGCAAGCAGGAAATAAGACCCTTTCACTTTCTCATTTCTGTGCTATAAGGCTCCCTTCTCCAGAGTCTAGTTATGCTCCTGAGGCCAAATTCACCTAACGGACAGAAAATGCAGTTAAGGAAAGCAGTTGATGAAGCTCTCAGGTCTTTCTGCTCTGATGAAAGAGGTTTAGCAAACCAACAAACAAATCCAAAACTATGCCAGAACTTTGACTTTTTTTCTTCATGTTATTAAGTCTTATAACAAAATCCTTTTACATTTGCAATATTTGCAATTCTAGATAAGAGAACTTGATAATTAGAAAAAGAAAACTGAAGCCAGTCTCATGCTAGAGATAGAATTTTCCCCAGGATATCTTGAGTGTATTCCATTTGGAAAGCACAGTGTATATTTTAATTTGTAGTCACTCGTCTCTCTTTGGCTCTGTGATAGGAGCCAACTTTTCAGTGCGGTTTTACTTGTATGGCAGAGGACTTCCAATCAGTCTTCTAGTACAAAAGCAACATGTAATTGCTTGAGTGACACTACACTACTTTCATTGCAGTTACATCACTGAACACACTTATTACAAATCGGAGGCTGAAACAACTGTTATCTTGCCAATAGATTTTTAATCAGCATCAGACAATTAGTTTAAAGCTTCAGTTACAGTACTTGTACATGCAACTCATGAGTCCTTTCCACAAGCGTGTCTTTAACTAGGAATTTGTACGTGACTAAAATGCCTCTCTTTTTTAAGAATGAATATGTCCTTCAGAGTCTTAAATTTTACCTTGCAGTTAGAGTAATGAATATTTTGTACTATTAATGCAAAAAATGCTTGAAAAAATTGACAAAAGATTTAATCACTATGTTTTTGGTATGTTGTGTTTTTACTGAACTTCTTGGAGTAAGTGTGCTTATATGGTAGTTCTCATCTCACACTCTGGTCAATGCTGACTGGTGATCAAATTTATTCTACTCTAGGTAGTGGGTGAAAGAAAACATCATGCATACTCAGCCAGACAATTGTGAAAGGCTTTTGTTACCAAGAGAACCCAAAAAGATTGGAATTCAGGAGTTGGAAAAACTAACCTTCAATGGTGACCTCAACTTCAGGGTCCTCACTTGTTTCAGAAGGGGCATGCTGAGAAGAATCTGAGAACAAAAACAAATCGCAAAAGAATTTCAGAATGGCACATGCACTCTGAAGTACTTTTACCCAAGCATTCAGCAATTTAGTGTTCACACTGCCACTTGTCACAGAAGCCTAATGGCACATTAATATGTTTGTTGCACACTGTGAATTAAAAAAAACCCAAGAACAAAGACACTTTACCACAAGCCTTTAAGCATTTCTAGACAAAGGTAAGGAAGTGAGGATTATACGTGCTAAATTGCATGTGCAGCAGTGCAGAGAGCTGGCATTAATGACATAGGAAATTTCTTATTCCTGGCTTAATAGGATTCATGTAATCATAAATAATTCCTCATTGTTATCAAGGATTACTTAAAAATGTAAACAAAGGCTCTGTGCCCTAATAGATTATAGATTTTCTGCCATCATTCATAAGATACTGGCAGACTTGTTCCGGTTGTGCTAAAATAATTTTCCATTACAGATTACAATGTTAACAGTGGAAAAATGATGGAGAGTCAAACTGACCTCAGTGGGGCAACATGCATCAGTATAGTCAACAGGATTTGGCTTAACAGTATCGAGTGGGGAAAAACATATACAATGGATAAATTTTTAAAAAAGGAAGCTGATTCTTGTTTGAAATGGTTAAGCTTTATGCAGATTCTCTAGTTAGAAGGCACTGTGTTTGTACACCTGGATTAACACTGTTTTTGAGATCTCTAAGCTAGAAGCATAGTTAAGTGTTTTGTTTGGTGGTCAGTAGGGAGCAATCTCCCTTCACATTGCTCTTCACTTTATATCATATAGTGATCAGCAACAGCTACTGTAACATATTAAATAGATTTGACATAGGTGATGTGCTCTATCACCTGGTTCAGAAAAACTTTTACACTTGTTCCATTTAATTCACGAGTAACACAGATAACTGGTAAACTCAAAGCACAAAGAGGATTATGATGTCCTGGTCCTTTAGCCACAGAAGATCAGACAAGCAGTCCATCTAGTCCAGTATCCAGTGTCTGACATCCTTCAGAGGAACATGCAAGAAGTCACATAGTGGACAGTTATGAAATAGTATACCCAGAAGAGTAGAGTAATTTCTTCTTAAACCTTGTCAATTAGTGGTTGGCTTATTCCCTGAAGCAAGTCTTATATAATGCAACTTGTAGATATTACCAATATAAAATAGATAAACCTTTTTGATCTCTAAGCACCTCTTGGCCTCAATGACAACTTTGTGGCAATAAGTTCCAGATGTTACATTGTGTATATATAGATATAAATATTTCAAAAAATCATCTTTTCTATTTTAAATTTTTTACCATTCAGTTTCACTGACTGCCTCCTTCTACTTGTTTTAAAGCAGTGGTTCTCAATTTTTTTTTACTGGTGACCCTTCCACATACCAAGCCTCTGAGTGCGAGCCCCCTTATAAATGAAAAACACCTTTTTACATATTTAACACCATTATAAATGCTGGAGGCAAAGCGGGGTTTGGGGTGCAGGCTGACAGCTCGCGACACCCCCAAGTAATAACCTCACGACCCCCTGAGGGGTCCTGACCCCCAGTTTGAGAACCCGTTTTAAAGGGTAAATTTACCTCTTATATACCAGGCATATTTTTCGTATACCAGACATACTATCTATTTATATAACATTAGAATATTTTCACTACTATTTTGTCTATCATTCTTTATATGTCCTAACATGTTTGTTTTACCCACACTGCACATTTAAAGCAGGATAATGACGCGGCAGATTCTTCTTGAATGGTTTCAATCAATTTAAAACTCAGTTCTATGTAGTTAAAATTATTCCTTCTGATGTGCATTTGCTATTGTGTTGCCCATTCACTAAATCTTGTATGTCCTTAGTTTCCTTAATAGCTTCTCATGAGGAACTTAGTCAAAGGCTTTTCGAAAATCCAATCATCAACTGATTCTTCTCCCTTAGGCACTAATTTGTGGACTAGTAGATTGTAGATGCATGATTTATAAACCATCCTAGCTTGTCCATATCATATGTCAATCTAGCCATTTCTTTTACTCCTTTTAAATTACAAATCAATTTTCCTAGTAGTGAAGTAAGGCTTAATTGCTTGTAATTTTCTGAATTGCCCCAGCATCTTTTTTAAACGTACTAACTTAACTTGAAGCATGGATAAGTTTTTAGTTCTTAGCAAAAAAGGGTGCAACTTTCAATTCAGTAGTTCTCATTTAACAAAAGAGAAAACAGATTTAAGAACGACATGGATAACGGAGCTGAGGTTTAAACAAGTAGAAGCCTAGATCAGGCATTCTTCGTTGAGGGTCTGTGGTTGTGGAATTCAGTACTGACAAACATAAGGGTAAGCCTTGGTCTTATCCCTTTCAGGTTGCCCTATAACACTCATTTCTTTCTTCTGGTTCTCTCTTAACAATTAAGTGTCAAAGTGGTCATGACGCTTGGGGAAGCAATGAACCCAGATTATTTCCTCCCAGGCACATGTTTTTATTAATGCAGATCGGAAGAGCAGAGAACTTTATTTTCCTTTTTTGAGGGACCTAATGCACTTCTAAATTAATGCAATGCCATCTACACACTGTGTGATAAGCACCTTTGAAATTCAAATAATAAGGATTGTAACAATGAATATTGTTGCCATCATAACTTGCCCACAAAACCCATGAGTTTATGATTTGGGGTGGAACAAAACTGGTTGGAGGATCATATTTCTGAATTCATGTAATAGCGTTTCGATTTTATGATGGGCATAAATGCAAATAATGATTTTAAAAAAATGATCACTCCGATCACAATAAGTCATTCACAGTCAGGATTCAGGGGGAAAAAATAACCAGCCATCCATGTGCAAGGAGAATGGTTGAGGAGATAATGTACAGTTTCAATGTACTGAAGTTTTATTGTTTTCAAATATTTATTTAAAAAATGAAATTCTCTTTTCAATGCTGTTAATTCATTTTCATGAAAAAAAGTTTCATATCTCTAACCTTCTACTGGTATTTCCACATCTGTTCCTTCACTGCAATCGGAACCCTGGTGGCTTCCTTAGATAAATATAAAGTAAAATATACCATAATAAAAATACAGAGTAACTTATGTTAACATTAACTAGTCAAAACAAGTATTTTAATAAGGCAAGTTTAAAACAATAAATATCTAAAATCCACATGAACTGAAAAAATGCATCTCAATTTTTGAATTTGAAAAATTCATGAAAGCAAAAGCACTCTGACCTTTATACGGAAGTGTCTTTCTTGAGGTACAAATTAGCTTTTTCTAATTTTTGTAAATGGGCATTTTTATTTATATATATCTATATCTATATATACACACACACACACACACACACACACACACACACACTCTCCGACCGCTGATTTTTGGGGGGCGGGGGGGATGGACACATCGTTTCACCAGATTTTCAATTTGTGCGAAGAACCATCTTCCCTCACCACACACAAACACTTTTCCCATTAAATTGTTCCCCCCCGCCATGCTTTCTTCCCCACTCCAATCCCCCAACCTATAATACACTTTTTAAAAGAATCAAGTTTGAAATGTGGCACGCAGAGAGGGTTATTAAAACTTCTCGGCTCTCTGTGAGCTGAGGGGTGAAAACATTAATTTTACACACCAAACTGCAATGGAAACAAGGCCTAAATTTTCAAGAATTGCTAGCAATTTTTGATGCCTCAAAATTTGTCTGAAAAGGGCCTGATGTTAAGAGAGTACATTAAGAAGGCAGAGCACTTCTGAAAAAGTCAGGGACCCCTTTTAGTGTATCTTAAATTCAGCACCCAAAAATTTAGGCACCCAAAAACACTTGTCCCTTTTGAAAATGTAGATCCCAGAGCTTACTCGTCTCATACCAAACTCAGAACTGCAGCGTCTCGAGAATCAGCACTCAGATGTCCAAATACCAATACAGTTGTAAGAAAATGTTGCTGAGAGAAACAGAACTGAAAAAATACCTGTGTACTTCTTTGCAAGAGCAATTTTTTCATCAATTTCTGAAGTTTCTGAAGGGCCTGCTTAGGAGACACAAAAGTAAGTCTTGAAAAATCTATTTCATAGTAAAATTCACTTTTTCAGCCACTAAATTAATGTGTTAAACCAGCTCCTTTTATTAAGTATACCAATGAAGTACATTTGGTTTCCATAGTTTAAAAAACTATCAGAATAAAATCATGATTGGGGAACATTCAATTCAATGAGTGTATGAAAGGCTATACTCAGAAGAGAAAATCTCTTGGAATTACATTAAAACAATTATGATTACTAATTGGTATCTTTTAGTGGTTTGGGATAGTTTCACTTAACTTGATTGGACAAACTATATTTTCAAAAAGGGTTGAAATTACCATGACTTAAAGTGAGCGATTGGTGGGTGTGTAATTTTTATACTCTTTTTCATCTCTTAGCGTCAAGACACTTTCGGATTATACAAGTATGTAGTTCTAGTCTGGAACTAGGCGAGGACTTCACCAATTTATATGGGGTATCTAAAAGACATAATCCTGCTGCGTGCCTAACAACGGCGGGTTACAACAGGTTTGGCTACAGGCAGTGAAAGTACTCAAGCATTAATAAGAATTCATTTGGAGATTAAATAATGACCAAGTAAAACAGAAAAAAGGCAGTGTCCAGTCCCAGGTTTCTTAAATCTGTGTGACATAATTGCTATCAGTGACTAATGTGCCAACCATTACTATTCTGGTATTACATGTAAACTGGCAGGGTCCCAACCTAGCTCCAAGTATTACAGAGTAAAAGTCATTCCCCTTTCGGAGTCTGGTTTATTACCAAAATGATAATTTCAAACTAACTCTATGAACTCAAACTAAATCCTCTTCCTAGGATTCCTTTCCTCAAGACCTGTCTTGTCACAGGCCCTGGATCCCTGTGCCAGAGGGATACTCCCACTTCATTTATATTATATTCATGGTGAAATCTTATGAGCCATGCCTGCCCTGAAGATTCAGCAACTGACCTGTAGATCCCTCCTGGATTCCCACACCTGCTAACAAGGTGAGACATTTAGGGCAGGTCTACATTTACCAGGGATTGACGGTGTGGTGATTGATCCAGTAGGGGTCGATTTAGCAGGTCTAGTGAAGACCTGCTAAATCGACCACAGATTGGTCTCCCGTCAACTCCGGTACTCCACCAGAATGAAAAGCGTAAGGTAAGTGGACAGGGGAGTTTCTCCCATCGACCCAGCGTGGTGTAGACATCGCAAAAGGTCCACCTAAGCTACATCAACTCCAGCTACGTTATTCACGTAGCTGGAGTTGCGGAACTTAGGTCGACTAAGCCCAGTAGTGTAGATCTGCCCTAAGGGACAAGAGAAATCACATAAGTAACAGGAAAAATATTAGACACACAATGTGGGTGAAGTAATATCTTTTATTGGATCAACCTCTGTTGGTGAGAGAGACAAGCTTTCAAGCCACACAGAGCTCCTCTTCTTCAGGTCTGGGAAAGGTATTTTGAGTGTCACCATTAAATGCAAGGTGGAACAGACTGTTTAGCATAACTAGTCAGCGCATATTGTAAGGGACCATTCAAGGTAGAGTGGCCTGTTAACACCTCTACAGTCACAAAAAGAGGGGGTTAGTGATTGTTGTAATAAGCCATACAACAAATTGTTACAAATTGTTGTAATAAGCCATAAATCCAGTGTCTCTATTCAGCCCATGATTTTTGTGTCTAGCAGAGTTATAAATTTAAGCTTCCAGGCTCGTCTTTTTAAAGTGTTGTGCAGGTTTCCTTTGAGGATGAGAACTGATAGGTCAGATATAGGGTATGTCTACACAGATGACATGACAGTGCTGCCGTGTAGTTGCGGCTCTCCCAGCGCTGTAAAAAAATACCTCCTCCATGAAGGGAGTAGCTCCCAGGGCTGGCGCACTGTCTACACTGCCACTTTACAGCGCTGAAACTTTTTCACACCCCTGAGCGAGGAAAGTTTCAGCACTGTAAGTGGCAGTGTAGACAAGCCCATAAAGTGATCATTTTGTGAAATGCTTCAATGCAGAAATAAAACCCCCTCTGGCCCACAACGGAACCCCTACAGGGTATTAAACTACAACTCATACTTAAGGAGGACCCCATCCTGAAAAAAATGTTTCCTGAACCCCCTCTTCTGGGCTTTAAACGACATCCGAACCTCTCCAAGCTTATCAGAAGCAAACTCCCCAGACCCAGGACACACCAACTCCAAGGGGCACAAGACACTGCCAGAACAACAGATGCAAAACCTGTAGACATAGCTCCACTGATACAATGATCAACACTCCTCACCCCCAACACACCTTTCAAGATCCATGAATACTACACATGCCTATCACAAAATGTGGTGTACCTCATCCAGTGCACTAAATGCCCCAGTAGCAACTATGTGGGTGAAACTAGACAATCACTACTCTCTCGAATGAACTCATACAGGAAAATGATCAGACAAAAACACTACAACACCAAACACTTTTCCCAAAGTGATCACTATCTCCTCTGACCTATCAATCCTCATCCTCAAAGGAAACCTGCACAACATTTTAAAAAAAACAAGCCTGAGAGCTTAAATTCATAACTGTGCTAGACACTAGAAATCATGGACTGAACAGAGACACTGCATTAATGGCTTATTACAACAATCTATAACCCAACTACTCATCACGGTGCCCTGCCCCGCCTTCCTTTCCTCCTTGAAGGGGTGTTAACAGGCCACTTTGCCTAGAATGGTCCCTTGAAATGCTTGTTAACTACTTACGCTAAACCATCAGTTCCACCTTGTATTTAGCTGATATTTCCCAGACTTGAAGAAGAGCTCTGCGTAAGCTCAAAAGTTTGTCTCTCACCAACAGAAGATAGTCCAATAAAAAAATATCAGAGAGACAAGGTGGGTGAGGTAATATCCTGGTATCAACATGGCTAAAACAACACTGTATATAACAATGGAAGAACTTTTGAATAGTCATTTATGCTTTGAAATGGTCTGTATCCATTTATCTGCATTATGCCAGTTAATATAGAAGTTAAATGGCCGTCAGATATAATTAAGTGTTTGGTAACAGTGTGGTTTGTTATTTTCCTTTCTGTATGAATTCCTGCTTTTTCTATAGTGGTTTTTAAGATGGATTCTATTAAATGAATTCCCAGTGGCTGGCTCTTATACCATTGCAGATCAACTTGTTGCAAAGTGGATTTACAATTTTTAGCAAGATGAAATGGGACACTTCCTTCTAGCATTCTGGATGATCTCCACTAGAGAAAAAAATATTTGTAGTTAGAACTGGACATCTTTCTGTATTTTTACAGAGAGTGTAACCTTTTGAATTTAAGAGTCATTAGGGTCATTCTTTTTCTAGCTTTGGGTTGGCTCTTTTTTTCAAATTGAATATATTCTTTTCCATTTTCATCTTGCTTCAGTTGGATGTCTTCCCATTTTTGCTGCCTCATTTCATCATTCCCTCAAATTCCAAAACACATTATATTATTCATCCACATTGTGTTTTGAAGGGAATTGGCACTGTGTGGTCCAAGCTGATTTGTCAAGTATAACTGGTTTACAAGCTCATTGGTCACTTTGTCAGATGCATTTTGTTTGCAGACTTTTCCTTTTGTTTTCAGTTCTCTTTGTTTTAATTTCAAGCCATCTCTGGTATCTTTGAAGAATACATTAGTTAGGCTGGTGGAATAACTGGCTTGTTGTAAGTAACCTTCAGTACATTGGAATACTGATCGCAGAGTGAGGAATTCATAGTCACAATTAATTATTTTCATACGAAGAAAGTAGTATGCTAGTAAAGTGTTTAGTTCTACGGATGATATATCTTGAATAGGTCTCATTTCATTCAGTGTTGATGGGAAATAGGATTGCTGATTGTGCATGTCACTTTGGGTTTTTGTCACTATATTTTTGTTCTCCGTTTTTTGTAAAAATGAATGAATTTTCATGTACAGAAATAAATTCCATCTTGTTACTTGTTACAGTGCTGGTATCTGGTTCTGGCACTAAAGGTACTTCACCCTCATCTTTCCCATGAAAATCTTATCTTCATTTCCTAAGATGGTATGGGTTCTGTACGGAGTCCTCCAATAGGAAGTCAGTGTGTAATTTTGTCATAAATATGTTTCAAAACATTTGGCAAAATCAGCTCAAGATGTACAGAATTACACCTCTACCTCGATATAACGCTGTCGTCGGGAGCCAAAAAAATCTTACCGCGTTATAGGTGAAACCTCGTTATATTGAACTTGCTTTGATCCACCGGAGTGCGCAGCCCCGCCCCCCGCTTTACTGCGTTATATCCGAATTCGTGTTATATCGGGTCGTGTTATATCGAGGTAGAGGTGTTTATAACACTTGAGATACAGTTTTACGATGTTTTGTGAAAGGGTCTATGTGGAATTCTGAGATAAGAATTCTCTACCAAGTTAGAAATAAAGAGGTCTTGAGTCAGTGTAATTAAATACATTGTGTTTGTGGAGAAAATATGATGTTAGGTTAGTAAAAGTCAGATGTGGTAATTAGCATGTAGATGAAATCCAGTGACATGGGTGCTCAAAACTTCTTCCCAAAAATTAAGGAAAAACAGCATAACAACCAATTCAGCTTTCATAAGACTAATACAATAAGCATTCATTTTATAGGTTTTGTTATTTTTATACAAACTTTTCCATCACTTACTTTTCACCAGACAATATTGCTGAAGATATACACATACCTTTAGGGTGCAAGGTTTTATTTTGCTTTGTTTGGGTGGTTGCTTTAGTTCTTTTACTTAGTCCCTAGCAGAGAGTTACTGAATATATGGTATTTCCCTAACTCATGCAAACACACTGCATCACTATGTGTTGCTATGTATGCAAGGAGACTGGGGTAGTTATGAAGTCTGTTTCAATACGGATTGTTAAAAATAGAGTCAGATTACATTTCATACTAAGGTCTAAATTTCCCCCAGAGATGCATGCATGCATCTCCCAGTGAAGCCAACGAGAGTTGTACATCATATAGAGGGCACAATTTGGTCCTAAAAATAACAACTGATTACTACTTTGTCGAAATCTGGATCTGACTCTTGTTTGTTTTATAGCAGCACCTATTAAACCCCATAGGCACATGCTGGACAAAGCTGTAAATAGCTGAAAAAGATCCTTAGACTTATATATACACATGGTCAAAATATCCTGAACAATTTTTTTCCTCCCATGAAAAAATAGCCCCCTTTTCCAAAATTTGAAAAGTTTTAGCAAAAACTTTGATATATTTGAAGCTCTCTCTTTTTTCAAAAATCTAACAGAAACTAACACAATTATGCTTGCATGACTTTGTTCTGCAAAATGTTTAGTCTTGGAATGATTAGATTTCTTTTTATCAGTAAATGTCAATAAACATTGATTTCACTGTACACACCCAAACCAATGAAAAAATATTTCCATCAATGATAATCAAAGTTTACAGATAGGCAAAGAAAGAAAAATACTGCTTGAGAACTTGAGTTTGATTTAAGGTTATTTACTTATATATTTTTGACATACAATGTTGATAATTTGTGTTTTATTGGTTATGAAGCTTTAACTTTTTGAATCTCAATATCTATTGTCATTAAGTAATTACTGTCTGAGCCTCTATAATTTCCCACAACTGAAAATTTAAATCTTTCAAGCTAACTTTTACCAGAAATTGGTAAAATAAGAGATATTACCTCATCCACCTCGTCTCTCTAATATCCTGTGACTGACATGGCTATAACACTGCATACATCAATATTCTATATTGAAATTATAAAAAATAAAAATTGAATTATGCCAGGCCTAAAAATGTTTTTTGTTTGAGTTTTTTTTATTTGTTTTTGTTCTTGCCAATCCTGATGGGTCAGGTGCATCACATAGTGGATTTTTTTCACAATCAGAAAAATGTAAAAAAAAATTCGGAAAACAAAACCAAAATTGGATCACTACAAACAGCAATCAATGAAAAATGCTGTCAGATTTACTGACACTTTTGCAATGAAAAAAACGGAACCAGTTTTAGACAATTAAATTTTTATGGTAGATGAAGCGTTGAGCCAGACAGCCTTTAGCACAATGCCTGGTAAAAAGGTGACAAAAAGTTGTCACTGGGGTTACATTTTGCAAGCCCATCACCAAAACAAAATAAAGTGTAGAGTTCTTCCACAGTTCTATCAGCTCAATGTAGTTATTTAATACTAGCTTACTTTCAGTGATCTATAATGTCATTTAACCGCGTAGGGGTGGGGGAGCGCCCAATTCTGTTGCAGTAGCTGGATGCCTATTTGCTTCATTGAGAGTTACTTAAATGGCTACCAGCATGGAGGTTTTGTATTAGAACAAATAAGTCTAGTTTAGCTACGCAACTACAATGTGTCTAAAGACAGGAAAAAACAGCAGTTGTCACACTTAGATATAACATCTTATGTGACAAAATATATGCAAGCTAATATTACCTGGAATATTATACTGATAGTAGTCAGGATCCTCCGATTCCTCTTTTACTGTTACTGTTGCCATCTCTAGTGAAATTCCTGCAGAAGCAACCGAAAAGTAACCCAATCACATACGCAGACACATGATAAAGGGATTCAAAAACAAATTTCTATCTTGTCTTTATTGCACAAAGAGGACCAACCAGTTTGAAGTAATGTGCTAAGTTATTATATTTTAAAAATGGTATAGTGGAGTTCTAGGTTTCTTTTATCTCAATAACTTCCCTATCAAATAGGTTCAATTTACCCTATTTCTTTTTTCTAACCTGCTAGTCCTGCAACTCAACCTTGGATCCAAAAAGTCAAGCTGGGTTCTTCCCTTCTTGTACACAATCACCAATCATAAAAGTTTTGCATCCCCTCCTACACACATGGCACTTCTAAACTAATTTTTGCTCACTTATGTTTATATAAAGTAAATTCAGTTGAAATCTAGAGATTTCTGGAACTGAATCATTTTGCTGTGTGCAGCAGCACTGTAGGTCCTTGAACTGGTCTATATTCTGCTAAGCAATGCTCTAAGCATGTCGTCAAATGGATTCCAAAATGTTTTCAAAACATTTTGACTAGAGGAAGATTACCACCCCAAGAGTCTGCTGAATAGCATTAATAATGCTGCAAATGTTCTAGCAACATTTGCAGCAAAGATTAGACTCCTCTTCTTCTTTTCAGTCTCTCTGTGACTGATTACTTTACAAAAAAAAGAAAGCACATTGACTCTTTGTATGTATTAAGTGATCTAAAAATCATTAATCTACACAGCATCTGTGAATTTACACTATCTAGGATAAATATTAAGGGATATTAAGCCCATACGTTAGGACTGAATATTATAGCTGACAGGGCTAGTTAATTCTTCCCTCCACCCAAAGGATGTAGAAAACTAAAGAAAAATGGGGAAGAAGTTGTAGTCTAATCCTCCCATCTATTTACAGTCTTATGACATTGTCATTAGTACAATTATATTAGACGTTTTATAAAACTGTATAGACCATTATTTCTCAGTCCTCAAAATGGATACTTTGGACCAATTAAATCCTATAGTACTTAGTCATTAGTAGGCTATAGTTTGGTTAAATGACGAAAGGAGTTTGTTAATATATTTATTTATTTATTGCAGTCAATTGCTGCTGTTCTAGCGCATTTCTGTTTGCATTGTCTACCGCTATCTAAATGCAACCACTTGAAATTAAGGCTGCTTGCTCAGAATGTTTTGCAAAGAAGTACAAAACAAAGTTACGTACCAGAATCCTCATTTGGTTCTGTTTTTACTTGGACAGGAGGGCCACTGAAGGGAAAAAACCCACAAAATTAAAAAAGAAGAATCTACAACATGCTTATGGAAGTTTCTGAAGTGCTCATATTATCTAATAACAACTTGGAAGTGATATAAAGAAGTTAAGAGAAAAAATTCACAGTGCCATGTAGTAGCTATTCTGGAGTATCATATGTGGCTTTCAATATCATTAATTTCCTACCCAACTTCTTTAAGACATATTTAGGCCTTGGCTACACTCAGGACTTCCCAGCGCTGCTGCGGCAGCGCTGTGAAGCACAAGTGTAGTCGCAGCGCTGTAAGTACTCCACCTCTCCGAATAGCTTGCAGGAGAATAGCTTGCAGCGCTGCGTGGGAGCGTGCAGCGCTGCAGGATCTGATTACACTGGAGCTTTACAGCGCTGTACTCGCTGTGCTCGGGGGGGGGAGGGGGGGCGTTTTCACACCCCTGAGCGCAGCAAGCTGCAGCGCTGTACAGCGCCAGTGTAGCCAAGGCCTTAGTATTACAGAACTGCACTATTTTTAGTAAAATGTGTATTCAGAAGCATATAATTCTATAAAAATTTGCATTTTGCAACATAAATTTTACATTCATGAATTTCTAACTTGTTCCGGACACTGCCAAATGGTAAAATTGTATGACATTTAATGGAAGAGACAGTGGGAAGGATTAAGCTTGATGCATATACTTGTGACATACTGCTGCATGCGACAAGCTCATTACTGAATGATAACATATGAATTATTATATATCACTCATGTAGGCTGAAGTGAAACTGATATCCATTGAGTTCTGAAGAACTTGTACATATACACACAGCCAAGAGTAAGAGGAAGTTTGACTACATGCCATTTTTGATCTTAGGTAAGCAAAGCTTATTCAGACAGAAAAAAAGTTTCAAGAAAGTTACATGCCCTATAAAAATACATACTAGACACTGAAAACCATAAAAGTGTACAGAGTGTTCTCATTTTCTCTCTCCTTTTTAAAGGTGCTGTATTCATCAGACAGAAGAAAAAGCCCACAACTGTTACATATATGTAGCTATATTTCCAATAGGAAAAAAGACATTTTACCTTCCACTTGGTGGTGTAACTGTGCGTGTAGAATCTGTAACAGTCACATGAGCTCCTGAAAATGAAGATACGATCTACAGTTTTCTTATATGTCATTTACATTATATACAAGTTTAAAATGCCACAAAGATAAATAAATACTGTTTTGCTAAACAGGATTTAATTTGAGTTTCACAAATATCTACAGAAAGTTGTGTTCAGAGAGCTTGTGCTTTTATAAGAAAGATTTATTGTTACTGTCTATAGCAGGGGTGGGCAAACTTTTTAGCCTGAGGGCCACATCTTGGTATGGAAATTGTATGGCGGGCCATGAATGCTCATGAAATTGGGGTTGAGGTGCAGGAGGGGATGAGGGCTCTGGCTGGGGGTACGGGTTCTGGGTTGGGGCCAGAAGTGAGGGGGTGGGGGGGGGGGAGGGGGGGGAGGGATGAGAGCTCCGGAGGAGGTGCGAGCTCTGGAGTGGGGCTGAGGGATTTGGGATGCAGGAGGGTGATCCGGGCTGGAATTGAGGGGTTCAGAGGGCGGGAGGGGGATCAGGGCTGGGGCAGGGGCCCAGGGGTGCAGGATCTGGGCGGCGCTTACCTCAAGAAACTCCTGGAAGCAGCGGCATGTCCCCCCTCTGGCTCCTACGTGGAGGCGCAGCCAGGCGGCTCTGCACACTGCCCTGTCTGCAGGCGCTGCCCCTGCAGCTCCCATTGGCTGCAGTTCCCAGCCATTGGGAGCTGCGGGGGGCGGCGCTTGGGGCAGGGGCAGCACGTGGAGCCCCCTGGCTGCCCCTAAATGTAGGAGCTGGAAGGAGGCACATGCCGCCGACTCCGGGAGCCGCAATACACGCATGTGGAGCGGCCCCAGACCCTGCTCCCCAGCAGGAGCTTGAGGGCCGGATTAAATCGGCTGGAGGGCCGGATGTGGCCCGCGGGCCGTAGTTTGCCCACCCCTGGTTTATAGCCTAAAAAGCAACACTAATACAATATTACTTTAGAATATCTTTTATTAAAAACGTAAACATTTTATCTATCCCTGTCATCATTGTTACTGGAAGTCATAACAATAAAGCTAAATTGATGCTGTGTCTCAACATTATTAAACTATCCAGTCTGTTTTGGCAATCTTGCTACCCTGTTTCTATATTGCGGTTAGGTGCATAAATATTATTGGAATAGGAATTATGGACATTTCTACATAGTTCTTGAGCATACTGAAACCTACTTTTTACCTTAGCATCATTTTGTTCATTAATGGAATCTTTGCCATTTCTATTACATCAAAATCTTACATGTCTAAAGGTGTGTCTATACTGCCCTGCAAATCAGACTGTGTGTGTAGGAGGACATTGTTTTCAGAAAGTGAAATTTATCCCTAAGCAATGACCTCTGCAAGATGGAAGCCCTGTGGTAGCCCTTCACAGTGGGGAGCAGCAAACACGGGGCTCTGTATTGGCTTTAAATAGGCTGGCATGAAATTCTTGTTTCTGACAAGTCAGCTGTTGCTTAAACAAGTCCCTTCTCCAATACATGCAAACACACTTGCGTTGATTCTTGGAATTGGCATACTCCACGATATCCATAAAAGACATTTCTACAGATGATACATGGGCCTCCAATAAGCAATCAGAGAGTTGTGGTCTAACCAAAGCACTGGGAGAGAGGAACTCATGAGTGTTAATCCCTGGTCTGACAGTGATTCTCTATGGAGTTTTAGGCAAGTCACTTGGCCTTTCTGTGGATCAGTTTTCCCTTCTCTACAATGGGGATAATACTTGATTCACGGTAAGACAAGTACTGTACGAGGATTGAACATATTAGAATTAATTCTCCCCCCAGTCAGTGGTTCTCAGTAGAAGGCACAAAGGTTATGGAACTATTCTGTTTTCCAAGTGAATAAGTCAAACCACAATCTAGGCATTTCTGCCAAACAGAATATTATAATAGATGTGTTTATAGGTGCCCTAACTCCTCAAAGAATTGAAGATAAAAATATAAATTCTAATTATAATTTTCATGTTTTGTTTACTGCAAACAACTTGATACTTACCTAGGTGTTTCTTTGGCTCTAGGAAAGGCCTGCATTAAAACAAAGAAAGAAAAAGTAATACCATTACCCATTTGGTAGTATGACATTTAAATACAAACACTGAATTTTTCATGTAACAGACAGTATATGCACATAATTTTTAAAAATTGTAGCATTTAAGGTACCCACAGAAAAATATCAATTAGCTGTTCTGATTTAAGTGGACAAACCAATAAAAGAGAATGTAACCTTTTGATCACAAATGAGATCCCCGATTTGTTTTCCAAAATCCATTTCAGTGTTGTCACATCATAATTTGCTGGATGTTTAAATGCAAGTCCTTCAGGAAGGCCCTGCACTACCACTGCAGACTGGTCCCTTTGAATCTTGTCATATGGCACAGGGACTACCGTTGACTTCCCTAAAGCTTTACCTGTAAATTGTTGGGAAACAAAAAATACGTAAGATTAAATACGACAAGCTAGGCTTTCATATTTTTTCCTTCCTTCTTCTGAGTCCTAAGTTTCTCCCCATGTCTCTGAACCATGTTCTTCCCTGTTGTACATTCCCACCCTATGGTCTGCTATTTCTGTTACCATTCTTCTCAAGGGGGATTGCAGCATGAGGCTTCCTTCAAAGCCACTTTCTAATTGACCAAAGAAGATCTTAATTGAGTAACATGATGCAATGTCTCCTTAGTTAAAAGATGGAAACTGTAATACATCCTCTTCCTCTGGAGAGGAACATGCTTCCCCTACAACACTGCAAGACCTTGATTGCTTTGGGGGCAGGGTAAGACAGACTCAGACATGGATCAGAAATTCAGGAATTACGCACAAGTTGCACAGCTGACAGTGCAGAGAATTACCATTAGGTTACATATTTCGTTCTTGCTTAAAAGAAAGCTGCTCCATGGAACATTCAGAATGTTCATGTGCAGTGAAACATGTATAAGACAGCAAACTCTTTGGAGTTTAAATACAGTTTAGAACTACTGAAAAATTAAGCTCATTACCTCAGCAGTACTCTAGACTGAAGGCAGAAACTATAAGCCACTCTCCATCCTACTTTAATGATGGCTTAGCTATCCCAGGAAGAGTGTTATTTCAGATTTTTTTAAATTAGTTTAAGAGCTTACCATAACAAAAGCAGAAGAAATCCTCTACAGACTTTCGGAGAGCTTCCATTTCTACAATATCCACTGTCAGCCTGTTTACAAGTGACGTAGTCTTTGTTTTCTGCAGTTCAGCTGCCTTTTCCTCTTCAGAGACACCTGCAAATTATTTTGTAATGATCAGAACACAAATCCCAATCCCAAATCCCTTAACAACTCATCTGTTGCCCCTCTGGAAGTAAGCTGTTAATACTACACAGAACAAGAACAGTACACATCCCTTAAAAGCAAATCTGTTCCTATGTTGATAACAGGTGGGTTATAGGTGTTTATGCCAGCATTATTATACTGTATTCATGAAGGTCATAGATATCATCATTAGAGCAAACTGCAAAGATGATGATGAACTAAGAGACATCTAAGCTGGTTGTTTTTGCATAAAGAGGTAAAGAACATGAAGGAACAGTTTAATAGAAAGGCAGTGCAATACTATCAAGTAAAAAAAGACTCTGAAGCAGTCATGAGGGAAGCTAAAATGCCTATATCTGAGGAGTCTGTCAGCTGTCAGGTTTTACTTCTGACGTCTTATTCGGTAGTTACATTAAACCTTGTTCTATTTATGTTGTATAATGCTTAACTGATTCTTTCTGAAGGAAGGGATATGCTCTCTCAGTACAACTGCTTGTATGCAGTGCAGCTCTTTCATCTTTTCAAAAGACTTGTTAAATTAAGCATGTGTCTGCTATTGCTGAATGGGAGGGAGTACTGTCAAGCTGTTAGTGCATGGAACTGAAAATAACCAGATCTAAACTGTATTCATTGTCCTATTCTCTGAGAAAAAACAAAATAAATACCATCCACCACCCACATGCAGAGTGATGGATGTTAACTCCCTCAACCATATACGATGGATGGGAGAGAGCTGCATTTCAGATTGCAATTTTGTGCTCTAATGACATCATTCATGTATTCCAAACATTTACGGAGATCCTTCAGTAAAAAGGAAGAAATTAAAATTTAGTCTAATGTTTGAAAGAAAAAAAATGTACATATACAGGTGCACATGCAAGGGGGAAAAACTGCTGAAGTTGTCCTTACCTATCATGATGTAGCAGTAGCAATAGAGCTCTGAAAATTCAAATTTTTACGGAAACTGTTGCTAGCATAGTTATTATCAAAGTAACAGAATGCCTACACGAAGCTGGGCATCAAGAATAGGCTGTGGATCTAAGTTCCCTCTAAGCTACATGGCTGCGTGGCTGTGCAGCTGCCTATTAAGCTCCGCGCAGGGGCTCAGGGCTGCGGCGGGGAGAGATGCGTCTCTCCAAGACCCAGACTTGCCACAGCGGGGAGAGGCGCCTCTCCCCGCCGGCCCCAGCACGGACCTGCCCCGGACATGCGGCAGCCAGGAGAGGGGCGCCCCAGTACCGGCCTGAACCCAGCCCCAGCACGGACCTGCCGTGGCTGGGAAAGAGGCACATCTCCCCCCAGCCCAGGTCCTGCTGCGGGGATAGAGAGCTGAGTGTGGGAGGGAAGGAATGCGCCTCACAACAAAATTCATTCTGCACATGCATGGGAAAAATTAGAGGGAACACTGCTGTGGATTGATCAGGAATAGGTTATGTATATTTAATAAAAATCTACAAGTAATCTACATAAAATTCTATTTAACTATACATATCTCCTCTACCCTTCAAATCACTTGCCTTCTTTGTGTCTTTGAAAATCTCCAAAGGGCATTGGAGTGTCCAGCTCCCACTCAAAGTATGGGAGTTGAACACTTAAATGACCTGGGACGGTTTCTTCCTGTGTAGAGACAATACCGAGCACATCCTAGGTGCTACTACAAACAGACAAGGGGGCTAATACTTACCTACCTCAGTGAAGTTCTGTAGGGATTAAATTAATGACTGTTTCTAATGCGTGCTCCTAGATTCTTGGATCAAAAGGTACTATAGAAGTTCAAAGTATTGTTAACTGCACCACTGATTTTTTTCAGATGAAAAACTATTCTACTGAAAAAGACACAGTAACTTATTTGTTAAGTGTCAATAGCGTGCTTAGCACTTTATTACAAAAATCAAAATAAAACAAACCCCAGATTACATTGTCCGTGCCTCATTAAGTGTATAATCTAAATAGGGATAATGCAAAGATAAACTTCCCTTGTCAACCAAATGAAGATATCATTGTTGTGTGATTTCATCAGAGTGTTTAATAGCACTTTGCAGTTACTTGAGACAAGCAATGGTAGGCTTAACAAAAGACAATCAACTATGAAGAGAGTTGTTACATTATACTTATACTTGAGTCTGCATTATACTTATTGTAGAAATCAGTTATTGCAATGGGTTGTCTCATGACAAAAAAAACAAAAACAAACCATGAATGGCTAGCACTGATTAGCCAGAAATTTGTACCCAAGTTGATAGCAGGCACTGAACCTCAGTTATTTTTTAGGTTGCTTTATTGGGTATACTAGAATGGAAGAGTTCTGAGCTAGTATAAGAACAATGTACCACTGATCATGTTGATCTAAAAGGAACATTTTTCTGATAGAACACTCTAAAATAGTACATTCTGACTTTTAAAAAGGTATTTTCCCTTTTTCAAAAAAGATTTGCAAGGGTTCTTCTGCTATCCTAATTTTGTTCAGGAGGGTCTTCTGAGTGTACCCGAGACAACCAACATGCTCAGGTCCACTATTCTTTCTTTTCTCTGTGCAAGCACACCTGCCTGCTCAGCACCATCTTCACTGCTGTTACTACCAATAAAGCTTGAAGATGAGTGTATGTGCAGTAGTTTTCTGCCTGCTACCTCTGTAACAGTACATGAGAGTGAAATTAGCCCAAAGTCTGAAAAAGGAAGTGCAAAGAACCAATAGTACAACTTTGGAACTGACTATGCAGAAAGTACTGTCAAATGGAGGAAGTAAATAAAAGTGATGGGGGGCAGGAATTAAAATCCTCCAATTTCTTTCATTTAAGGTAATCCTAGGTGCTACTTGTAACAAGAGCAGATAAAAACTTCAGCTCCCACTGTGATTTTCAAGTTGACTCTGTCCCTTTAACTATGCTGCATTCTTGCATCTACATCCTTAGGTGCCTAAATCATTTGTAAATCTGGGTCTAAAGGTACTATTTTCACCTTTAAAAAAACTAGAAATGACTGCAAGTATGGTGACGCAATGGATAACATAATGCCTTCTAGACCTCAACGGCAAGAGAAGTGTTGAATGGATTTCACACTAAATACTGGTTTTAGAAACTCAAACCACAAGATTTGACCACATGAAGATTTTCTAACTAATATGTGACTGATTATTATAAAAAGATAGTGGCTGGAAAACCTACAAGAGTAACAGATTCCATCCATGTGCAATAGTAACTAAACATGTACTAGTAGAATATGTCAATTATTTATTGAGTGCCATGAGCTTACTTGACATTGTATAATACATGAATAAGGAAATGATCACTGCACCAAAAGGTTTACAACAATCTAACTTGTAAAGTACAGTTCAGATATTTAAAAAAAATTCTGACCAGTTGAAGGCCCAAACTCCAAATGATTGTATTTATTTATTTTTAATTCTTTAGTGTGTTTTGATTGAAAAATCTTTCCAGAAGTAGAGTTTTGAGGAAGAAACTGATTACAGAAGATGGTCATTTGGTTTACAAAGAAGAAGAATGTTCTTGGCTTGAGTACATAATGTATAGGCTCTGATTTTTCGATCAATACAATGTGTACAGTAAAAAATAAAAACATTTAGCAACAATTCTCTTCTATCAGCTCAGTATTGATACAAAATATAGGTGTCATTTTTTCCATAAAATCCTCCAGCAATTTAAACTCGTTTCCATCACCAGAGCCCCACTAAATTACACCCATTACTCAAAAATGAGTCTCAGATCCTGAGCCCGGCTAGTTATCAGAGACTGCCTATATTTACAAAAGATGCAAAAAGGGAATAAAAAAAAGAGTGAAGCAAAGGGAAAAAAATACTGGGTCTACAACACAACAGGGAAGAAGAGCAAGCAAATCTGACATGAAAAGTCCACACATACTTTAAAAAAAGAAAACTAATTGTCCTATAGACATGTAAAAGCAAATCAGGACTCAATATTCTCAACAGACAGAACACAACTGGCTTAAAAAGTGACCTGCAAATGATTATTTTTTAAACACTGAGCTTGTGCCTTTTCTGTTCTTTTATGATGAAAAATATGGCTTCCAAGAGATTTTTATTTCCACTCCCCGCCACCCCACCCCACCCCTTTTTTTTTTTTTAACAACCTGAGAAATGGCAGGATCAACTCTGGCCTTCCCTGGTTTTTCTGGAGGACTTACTAATGTCTCAAAACATGCTTATTGCACATTCACATCTTAACTGAAGGGGCAAGGTGTGGGTGGGGGAGAAGGCCTCCCTGGTTTTGAGTTTCATATTAGGACAACTGTAATAAACCCTAGCTACAAGAACAGTTCAAGCTGCCAAGGGAGGTGGTGGAATCAGCACTACTGGGGACAGTTAAAGCTAGAACAAACATTAATTTATTAGGAATAATTACGTCAACCTTTATACAGAGTACTAGATTTAGTTATTTGATCTTTGTCAGTCTTGCCTCCCTCCCCCCCAAATAAATAAATAAATCCCTTCTTCTGGTCTGTTTTACATCCCTTCCAAAACAAAATGATTCCATGAAGAAATAACTACTAGGTTTGAAAAAGCTTCATCCAACGAAGCACTGCAATTTTAACATTCTTGACACCAAAGGTTTATTGTTTGCACAAATACCACTATGGGAAACTGGAAGCACTGAACAACTACCAATATATTGCTAAGCAAACAAAAAGGGTAAAGAGTCTAGTTTACATCTGGTAACTTATGTAGGAATTCCACAGTGCCTCAATCTTGGGTATCACGACTTGTTTACAGACTAGGCCGCCATCAAGCAGAAAGAAAAAAAACCAAAACTTTATATTTACATCAGTGGTTTTCAGCCTGGGATCAGTGGAGCCCTGGAGGTCCGCAGACTATGTCTAAGGGTCCACAAAAGGTGACTATGAAAATAAAGTTTTAGATTCCAGAAAAGGCATTCTGTTTTTCTGATCAATCAAAAGTATGTGAATACCCCCACCTACAGGTCAAAACCTGGAAGTGTTGTCATTACCATAGAAGCCCATAGTTTAGTACCAAGCACATGCAACATTTATAGTTTAATTCTGTTCAGTTTCAATCTAAGACTTCTATGGTAGGGGTCCGCAGACCACAGGCTGAATTTCCAAAGGGGAGAGCACCTCCATTCGAAATTTTTTAGGGGTCTGCAAACAAAAAATGGTTGAAAACCACAAAACTATGTACAGCTCATAGCACAATAGGGCCTTCAAGTGCTACTATACTACACACAAAAATGGTAGCTTCATGTTACCACAGGAAGTGGATAGGAATAGAGAGCCGGTGGAGAGTTAATCCTCCTTGTGGCCTTGCTGCAACAGACACTGCCCATACTTGAGCAGGAAGTTTTATTCATAGAATTACGTGACTTAACCAACACAAGGAACAATAATACTCTTTCATTCCACCTTCAGAACAGGAAGGTACAAGCTGAAGCAGCCATTATCACTCAAAAGAGGAAAATTGAGATAATTAAAGGAGGATAGTCATAATGACAAAAGTCATACATAATCAAACTCATTTGCCATCAAGTGTTCATCATACTTATTCTTAGTGTTTGCCATTTACCAGAGCTATGTGTGTTTAAATAAGGACTTGGTTCAGTAACACTTCATCTACTATTTGATTCTTCAATGAAGTTATAATGCTGTATTTTGAACAGTAACTTCACTGCAGATCAAGCAGAATAATTACTTCTATAGTGGCTGAATGTGTATATAATTCTGTATAACAGTTAAACAATTGAGAATCCTGCCCTGAATAAAGAATGGGCACTGAGAGAATGAGCTCTGATTTAGAATTTTAAACAGCAGCGAAAATACTGTTCAAGTATGTCCACTGTTTCTGTCATGGACTAAATTGGCCTGTTTGCAGTGTTGTTGTAGGTGTGTTGGTCTCAGGATATGACACACACAAGGTAGGAGAGGGAAATATGTCAATCAGTCAAGCAATATTTAATAATCGAAGGAGATGGGGTGAAGAATTATTTACACAAAAACTCCACTTAGCCAGGCAAAACTACATTCCTCAATGACCAATATGTAAAGCCCAGCAGAAATCATTTTTCTTGATGGGCAGACTGATCATTGAAATACAGGCTCCAAGACAGGTCATTAAGCTTTTGAAAGACACTTTGGCATATTCTAAGTGGGCCATCTCTTAGGCCTTGTCTACACACAAAAGTTGTACCATTTAGCTAGACCAGTATAGTTTAGAAACAGATCTAGTTAAAGCAGGACAACCCCCAAGAATGGATGCTCTCATACCAGTATAAATATGCTTCTATCAGCATAGCTTAATGCTGTGCAATATAATTATAGCGTTACAAAAAGCCGTAGGCAAATCCTAAAGTTTTATTACCTATGTCAAAAGCTTCATGTATCCTTTGAGAAGATATGAAGTCACCTGAAGAATTAAGGGACTGTCTTTCATAGTTGGAAGTAGTTGACTACCTAAGAGTCTGTCTTCTACACTAAGAAAAAAGATGCTTTTTAAAAACTGAGTTAGCAAACATGATATAAAACACCACTTTGCACCTTCAGTGTAGACAGAGTTTAACACGTTTAAAATAACGTTAGCTAGTCTGGTAACATTACCTTTTGGCTGAGGTAAAAATAGCACTGTGAACTAAACAGTGGATGTTGAATATTATGTTTGTGGTAAAAAAAAAAGTTCTTAAACACTGATCTACATACTATAATTCTGTCAATTATGGTAAGACCAAGGCATTGCAACATTTGTTAGGTACAGAGTTCAGTGTACTATAATGTATAGTTAAGTATTTGTGAAATACTTTTTTTGGAAACTTACAGTATTTAACAAAATCCTTCTGAAAATCTTTCCTTGTATTGACAAAAGCTCTTCCCCTCTCAGTTCCAACTACAAACACATCTGTTTCGTACACAGCAATACAGGCGACTTCTGCCTTGGACTTCGCAAGTTCTTTACACTATAAAAGAAAAAACAGAGCGGCTTTGAACTACAATAGTTAAAAGTACAGTTAATGCAATTTTACATGAAACCATGCAGAAAACAATTTATTTTCTAGTGTTGCCATGGTATAGCTCTCAAAGCTGTTGCAAATAACACAATGCTATCCATTAGCAATAGATAATTTGTACTTCTATAGTGCCTTTCATCTGAGAATCTAAAAGCATTTTAGAAGTATTAGTGAAGTTAAGTGTTGTCTACACACATTGTACCAATTGAACTAAATCTGTTCAGAAACAGATGGTATGTCTACAGTACTAGCACTACTGCAGCTATGCTGCTGTAGAGTAGGCACTACAGTGACAGAAGGGGATTTTCCATCACTGTAGTAAATCCACCCCGCTTGAGAGGCAGAGGCTAGGTTGAAGGAAGAATTCTGTCTACAGTGGTGGTGAAGTCAACCTAACCACATCATACAGGGTGGGAAATTTTCACAACTCTGAGCAACGTAGTTAGGTTGACCTAAGTTTTGGGGCAGATCAGGCCTGAGTTAAACTGGTACACCCTTGTTGTGTAAACATTCAAACTGATTTAGCCTTATAATGATTGAGCTGATTTAAGAGTGTTTGTGCAAAGGGGATACACCAACTTAACTAAACTTTCTCTGAACCCATTTAGTCAAGTCTGTACAAATTCTATGTGTAGACAAAGCCTTACCCTCAAAACACTCCTGTGAGGATAAATATTATCTATTTCATTTTAAACATGAGGAAACCAAATCACAGAGATTAACAGATTTACTCAAAGTCACAAGGAGGACCCCCAATTCCCAGTCCCATGCCTTAGCCACAGGATTATCCTCATGATGGGAAGCATGAGAAGCATTCCTGTTCAATATCTTCAAACTCAACAGTTCTGTGGTGTTTCCACTGTTGTCTTAAGTTAAACCTGTAAGACTAAGGCCATGTCTATACTTGGCTTTCAGCTACTGGTACAACTACACCAGTGCAATCCCCTAGAGTAGGCAAGGAATACACTAGTCTAGCATAGCATAATTATCCTTACAGTTGCTTAACCAAGTTGGAAACTACAAATTGCCCTCAACTGCTGTCTGAAATCCCAGCCTAATAGTGCAATCTCTCAGTTCAGATCATATCTCCACTATAGTCAAAAGTCATGGTTATTATTAGCATGGTTTGCTTGAGTAGAGACTGAACTGAGGTTTTTTCCTTGAAAAATATGCTATCAACTCACTCTTGAGTACTCTACAGTTCTACTCTTCTATCATAGAGCAGTCTACATAAAGGTAAACCATAAAAGCTATAAGTGAAACTGGCATGCAACAATTTTCAAGAAAATGTTGTCATTTTGTATGTTAGAACGACATAATTCTAACATACTGAAGCAACTAGCCACACTAACCATTGACTCAAGTGCTGACATGAGGAATGTAACCACCATTCTGCTTTCAGAGGAGTCCTCATCATGGACTGACAATGCTGGTGTTGCTGCTTGGGCCATTATCCCTGTAAAACAAAAAATAAAACTGTTACAGACCTTGGTGCTACACAACAATGGAAGAACACTAAATCCTTTGTTACATGGTGGAAACTAAAGTTTTTTTTTCAAAGGGTAGAGATTACATTTGGATCCCTCCCAAAAAAAGGAAAAAACCTCCATGATCTCTCTTTACATTTCCCCTATCCTATTCTAAAGACATTTTGTAAGAATTAGTTTAAATTAATTAGTAAGACACATCCTGACTAGAATACAGACCTTAAGTATCTAGAATGAACAATGTCAGTTACCCAAAGAATTTTGTGTTGCATTTTTTACAGTTTGATTTTGTTCTCAAGCATCCTCGATAGCCTGAGTATCCGGATTAGTACTTATATGGATAAACTACATATGATACAGTTAAAACATGGACATCATCCCTACACTTAAAGTTCTAGGGTTTTCTGTTTGAAAAAATCTTCCCAGTAATCATATGCATATCCTAAGACGTTAACTCAGTCTAGCAGAAAAGTGTCTTCAGGTATACCAACAGTAGCAGCAAAGAGTTGGACATTTTTATTCATATACCATTCAGCTACCTGTGGATGTCAACTTCAAAGCCTAGTTGGACCTATTTGGGTACCAACAGACTTTTATATTTTATAAACTGAAATATAATAGAAACAAATTTTAAAAGTGGCCAGCAAAAAAAAAAAAAAGGGTTTAATGCCTTTTATAAACGTTATGATTTATAGAAAGCTTGGGCTTATTCTTTAAAGTAACTATTAGAAATATTAGGACTTGGCTATTCTGTTTTCACTGGAAAAATCTCTGGATGATGGGAGAACACATGGTATGATCGCATCATGAGAATGAAACCTGAGTAACTGATAGAGAAGGGATTTTTTCTGCTGGACTGTTACAACTTGTTTTATTTACACCTAGTTAACTCAAACTCTTGCCAAACACTTGGGAGAAGAGTACTTTCTTAAACAGTAAACCATCTTGTGCACGTCTCCGTTAAGCACAATAGAATCAAGAAAAGCTCAGGACAATCAAGGCATTCTGGAAAAGTGCATTCTATGATCTTGCTCCTTTTCTATAACTCGGGCAGACATTTTGTCTCAAGTTTTTCAAGGGTCTCATGCAGTACTTAATTTGTAATGAGAGAGGGGCTGAGGCTCAAGCAGTAAGGTGCCAGGGCTCAAACAACTTTATTTTCATAACTCACACAGCAAGCCCAGAGGTGCTGGGGCTATGAACTGCCAAGCCTAGAGGTGTGCCCTGGCACAAATTAAGCACAAGTCAGGATGGTGAATGCACACGAATATCCATTTCGTGTGTGCAAAATACACACTTTTGAAAATTTGGGCAGTTAGTCCCTTCTACAAAGGGACTTAACCCAATACACTGACTAGATTAAATGCGACTGGGGGTTCTCTCTGTCCCTTCATCCTTAGTAGCAGTCCCTTTCAATTTCTACTGAATGTAGCACTTTTTCTTTTTTTAAAAAAAGCATTGCACTATACTGAACATATCACCTGCAAGTGGACTACTACAGAGGTTCAAAAGTCTGGCAAATGAAACCTGGATATTCACTAGTTACCTTAGCAACATCAAGTTTCTTAAACTCTATAGTACACAGTGCACGTAAATCAAGCAAATGGTTGTTTTAAGTCTTGTCCATTTTACAACTACTTTTAAGTCATGTTTGAGACAGTCCCTTCTCCAGACACACATGCTTGCAAGGTTCAAATATGGTGATTTAACAAAGTTGTTTGGTAGCTTTAAAATACAATATATTGCAGCTAATGTTATCTGTCTTAAAAACAGCCTAAACGCTGTTAATCAGAATCTAATTCTGTGTCCCTCACTTATTCCTTGATAAAGCCAGAGTGCCCTCTAGCTCCTGCTTTACTGTGCTAATGTTGGCCTGAATGTACTTGCCTAGGCTATTTTAAAAATACTGACATCACAATTTAAGCAAGTCCATCTGTATACACAGAGCCTGAATGATTTCTTAAGCTAAAGGTGAAGTATAGTCTACAATTGAACTGGATACCTCCATAACACTGCCAGGGGCTGAAGCTAATTATGTCAGTCATTCAGTAGGTTTACTCTTCCATTTGGTTCAGTAGTAAACATTAACCCCAGAAAGATGGTAAAAGAGCTATACTGCTGTATTTCAGATGAAAACAGAACAGGACGGTCCTCTCCTCATTAAAAGGTCACATAGCACCTTGTACCAGCCCAGGATATTTATACCGGATTAATCCAGTTTGGAACCTGGATTAAATACATTCTGATTCATAGAGTTTAAGGTCAGAAAGAACCACTAGCTCATCTAATCTAACATCCTGTATGTCCCAGGCCAGAGGTTCACCCAGTTACCCCTGTAAAACTTGTGTTTTATTTAAATGTATTATCTAGAATTGAATACAGATGGAATAACGTTCATTTCCCTAACATTTTCAATTACACATATCACAATATATTGTATTAATGTAAAATCAGTTGTTCCCCCCTCCCTCTACAAAAAGCAGGGTGGATAAAAATTGATGATTTTTTTTTAAAAAGGGATTTTATAATTTTGTTATTTACTTTTTTTTAAATAAACCCATTTAAAATGAAATCTGAATTTAACAACAAATATGTTAAAGCCTTATGTTATAATCTCTTAAAACATTTTCAATAAAAAAATATGCTGAATCAATAAGCCGCTATCAAAAACTCTGCTTTAAAGGCTGCTTTTCTATATAAAGAAAAAAATAAAAGGAAAAACGTCTAACTTTTGAGGTCAAGCTTTATAAATATGACATAATAAATTTCACTGTATTAAGCGCTTCATCCTGTGGGGAACTAGGGCTTTGCCACTGGGTGAAAGACTAGCAAAATCAGAAATATGGCCTCTGACTCCAGGAGATACCATCATGTATCTCATAAGAATCATCCACTGAGCCCACTTGAGTGGTCTGATCACCCTTATTTTATAGCTTTTCCTTACCTAAGCTCTGATTGGCTCAGTTCTCAATTTAAAACAACAGGAGTACTTGTGGCACCTTAGAGACTAACAAATTTATTAGAGCATAAGCTTTCGTGGGCTACAACCCACTTCTTCGCTTATGCTCTAATAAATTTATTAGTCTCTAAGGTGCCACAAGTACTCCTGTTCTTTTTGCGGATACAGACTAACACGGCTGCTACTCTGAAACTTCTCAATTTAAAGAAAGTCAGTAGCTAAGCACATGGAATCACAGTTTGCGGAACTGCTAAATGAGCTTTTGACAGCAGTATCCTCTTCCGCAGGCACAGAAAGAATCTTTTCTTCATTTGAACTAATTCATTCAAAAATAGAGAAACTGATTGGGATTTAGACAAGATTTCCTGCTTTTACTTCTCTTCCAGTCTATGAAGAAAAGTGAGGAGGGGGGAGATGAGATCTACTAGTTTTAAAAGTTAGAAGGACAATTAAGTAATTTAGGAGACGCTCTCATTTTTAAGAGACTTAGGTGAGTAAGAACTTAAAACTCCAGTCACTCTGACTAAGGCACATTTGAAAATTTCTCAGGGTGACCAGAAATAATCAGAGAAACAAGGCAGGTGGCGTAATATCTTTTATTGGACCATCTTCTGTTGGTGAGAGAGACAAGCTTTCGCGCTTATACAGAGCTCTTCTTCAGGCTGAGAAAACTAACTCAAAGTGTTAAATGATCCGCTTATTTCACTGTCTATAGTTAACCCCCCTTTTTTTTTTTTACCAATAATTTAGTTCTAAATGTGAAACGTTTTGATAAGAGAACTTTATGTATTCAAAACATTTAAGGTTTTGTTTAATAAAAATAAATGTTATGTGCTGTTTTCGGTTTAATTAGATTACAGTCACCAACCTAATGCGCAAACCTTATCACAAATCATGAGCAAAAAGTTAATTATCTAATAAATATATTATTCACCACTTTCTAACATTAAAATTGTACAATTAATAAGAATCTGAAAGTATTAAGCTATGTAAATGCTTTAAAAATATATATACAATTAAGTGTGCCCCCTTAGGTAGCAAAAATATGTACCAAATCTACTGTAACGTCTCTATTTAGATGTAAATCAACGTGTTTCAATGGTTATATATACACCTATGAGAATGCACTTTTCTTTATAAAATAACTGAAGTATAAATGGAAAAGTTGATTAAAATAAATTAAAAAAAATCAAGGCTTTGCACTTGGTGATTTAGAATCGATCCACCCTGACAAAAGCAGCCACACACCTGGAAAATTCCTTTCACATTTCACCACATTTTCCTCTAAATGTTGCAGTTTCCCCTCTGTATCTCTGCCAGTCTATAGTATAGAGGCATAGTGTTCATTATTAGGCATAGCACCATTGAGCTCAATAGGTCTGCACCTGACCACAAGATTAGTCCCTTAAATGGTGAAGGGCAACACAATCTCCTGAGATTAACACTCGGTGCAAGATTATTCAAAATCTGTGTGATACTTTGAACATGTGCCAATGTACTAGTCAAAAAAGTTAAACTGAACCAGATCTTTAGCTATGGCCCTACCAAATTCACAGACAGTGAAATCTGATCTTTTGTGTGCTTTTACCTTATACTATACAGATTTCACAGCGGAGACCAACATCTATCAAATTGGGGGTCCTGATCCAAAAGGGAGTTGCAGGGAGGATCAGAAGGTTTTTTTAGGGGGGGGGGATTGGGGGTCACAGTATTGCTACCCTTCCTTCTGCACTGACTTCAGAGCCGTGTGGCTGGAGAACAGCGGCTGTCGGCTGGGTACCCAGCTCCGAAGGCAGCACCCTGCAAGCAGCAGCGCAGAAGTAAGGGTGGAAATGCCATACCATGCACACACCCAGCAGCTGCCGCTTTCCAGTAGGGCTGTAAGAGGTTAAATGGTAAGCATTAGGTTTACCGTTAACCAACCTCTACCATTAAACCCGCCGCCCCACACCTGGCCGGCCGGAGCGACCTCAGTTAACAGTTCACCAATTAAACAATATAATTTTAATCGTTTAACTTGTTAAACCGATATTTACATTCCTACTCTCCAGCTGCTCAGCTCTGTAGGCAGCTCCACCACCAGCAGCAGTGCAGAAGTAAAGGTAGCAGTAACGCGACACCCCCCCCCCCCACACACACACACCTCCTTTTGGGGTCAGAATCCCTACAATTACAACATGTGAAATTTCAGATTTAAATAGCTGAAATCACGAAATTTACAAATTTTAAAATCCTATGACCATGAAATTGGTAAGCAGTAGCTATCACAAGTAGGTTTCTATAACACCGCTAATGATATATTTGTAAGTCTTCGACAATCCTATTGCTGGGAAAGGGCCTTCAAAGAGGTCAGTAGCATTTAGTATTATTTATCATCTGTAATTCCTTTAAATTGACTGCCTGAGAAGAAGTTTTCGCCTAATAAGTAAAGACCTGTAACATTAAATAAGCTATTACACAAAGTACTAGTGATGGGACACCAGGGCTAGGATCTGGCCATCCTCAGCTGGAGAGAGGGTCACCAGGACACAAAGCAAATGACCAAAATGGGCACCCAGGGATAAGAAAACAAAAAATGGTAGCTTTGTGTAGGTTAACTGGGACCTAGATGTAGCTCATTCAGCACGTTTCTGGCTTACTTCCACTTCTGAGAGCAAAGAAATAGAAATGCTTGTGGCAAGTGAAAGCCAAACCACAAGAGAAAGTTACTTTGTATCTTTCTTATTCTTACAGAAGAGTGCACATGCCAATCCCTGCAGCCCCGAGGTGTTAGATATCCTCCCTGACAGTTTCTGATGGACACAAAAAAGCAAGAGAAACAACATTCTGGCATGAGTATGAAGAACTACGCTTTTTAAAGAGTTTTGTTTGTACAGAGAATATGCTGTTTGGGGAGAAAAGGAAGGAAGACAATTAAATTTCCCTTTATGAATAGCACAGCAAGATAGGCAAATACATTTTACACCTAGACTGCCATAACCCAAGAGAAGTTAAAGTGAAGGGTTACAGGAATCTATTTCACAAAAACATATACGACCTGTAGGTCAAATCCTTACCTCCCAGTTAAAATGACCAGGACCAGACACAAAACAGGAGCGAGAAGGCTCAGTGAAATTAACATCTGGCACTTCTCATGTCTGATTTCTATACCAAACATTGGATTGCTCCACATACACACAAACATATGGTACAGGTATTCACAACTTTCATCTGAGAGTAGCTTTCTTGATAAGTGCACTCTTACCATTCCAATATGGCACCATTATACGCTCAGGAACAGTGACCCACTAAACACAGCAGCTGGGACATTTGCTGTCGCCATTTCAAACCAACTCCCACTGCAGGGATTTAACTCTCAGCGGTAGAATCAACAAGAACAGCACTGTGTTTTTTTACATTTTTAAAGTGGCTTATCCAAACCCATCAGAGGAATATTGCTACTTAAAAACCAAGTCCCGATGAAACTAATGAAATTTAATTCACATAATTATGCCACTCAGAAGCATAGGATCTCTCTCTTCAGAATCCAAGGCACTCTTATTTCCTTAATTTTAGCATGCATAGGTTGACACTTCCATTTTTTCCGTACAGCAGTCAAGAAAAAGCTTATTAATCAAGGGCCAGATATTGAGAAGTACGGAGTACACACAACACCCATTAACTTTAGAAGGAGATGCAGGTGCTTAGCACCTAAGTTACTATCACCGATGTTTAGAGAGACTTGTAGCTTAGAAAACATGGCTTAAAATCACTACATTAACCTAGGAACTATTAATAAGGAGTCTGTTACACATCCACGATGGCCTGCCCAGAAAAACATTTAAAAAGAACAACAAAAAAAGTTTCTCTTTAACTAGGTACTTACATGGCCCTCTTCACAGTACAGGGTGGATGGATCATAACTTTGTTAAAATAATCTTTAAAAATATTCAACACTAGAAACTAGTTTCAACAAGAGTCTTTTGGAAAGCATTTTTAACTACGCTACGACACATCCACAACAATCAGTGTAATCACATTTTCAGAAACTGTTTTCAAACTTGCTTTTAACAGTTTTCAAACACAAGGAGATGCTGGTGTAAATAGACCAACGAGTTATGGATATAACGAATCTCCAAAAGGCATATATATATACTAGGGCCGTCAAGCAATTAAAAAAATTAATCGCGATTAATCACGTGATTAATCACACTGTTAAACAGAAATACCATTTATTTAAATATTTTGGATGTTTTCTACATTTTCAAATATATTGATTTCAATTACAACAAAGTGTACAGTGCTCACTTTATATTTACTTTGATTACAAATATTTGCACTATAAAAATGAGAAAAAGTATATTTCAATTCACTTCATACAAGTACTGTAGTGCAATCTCTTTACTATGAAAGTTGAACTTACAAATGTAGAATTATGTACAAAAAATAACTGCATTCAAAAAAATAACAACTGAGATTAATCAACAGACCTAGCATATACTTTACTACTTTTTTTATACAACTGACTAGTATATGTTTGGGCTTTAATAGCATCTTAATTACTCTGTGCATATATTTAAGTTTGTCTTAATAGTCAAGTAAGATTGAGACTTGGAGTAAATTCACTTAGTTTTCTAAGTATGCATACAGATCTAAAGCAGTAAAAAGATATTAATGAATGTTAAATCAAGTAAACAAAGTAAATTATTAATCAGAGTCCCCACCATTTGATAATTTCAGTCTTTACTAGTGTAATCGCATTTACTTAATAAACATGATTGTTCGTGTTAAGTAATTATTACTTTGGTTCTCTGTGCCCATCAGCACTAATACCCAATGTCTGAAGTTATTTATTTTGAACTCCACTCCTGTTTATCTCATTATGGCAAAACTGGTGCTGGCATTATTTCATAGCGACAAATTGTCTTCTCAGCTAATACAGCTCACCCTTGGTTTCTGTGTCACATTGTACTGTGTCACAGGAACCTAATCTATTGTTTCTATTAAAAAAAAAACCCACCTACAGTGAGCTATTCTTCAGGTGCTCACACAGAGGCCTACCCACACTACAACCCAAAATACATTTTTGAAACTGTTTGTAACAGCCATTTGTTCCGCTTACAGCAAACATGGTTGAGCTATAGCCCCACAGCAGTTTTTTCCCACCCCCACACTACCCTGCACTAACCAAGCCTGTATGCCCATGCCACACCAAACTGCCTAAACATGTATCTATCAGTGCATTTATCCCATACTGCTTCTCTTGGACCCTGATGACCCTTCACTATTTCTTTCCTTACTCCCCCTGGCCTCGGGATCTTGCATACTACTGACTGCTTTTGCAACCAAGAAAATCAAAACACTGCTCTTCCTGGAGCCCATTAGTTTTGTTCCTTCTTGAGTCAAGGGGGACGCTGCAAAGCAGCATGCAGATATCCCTCCTACCCTGGTACAGAGCTTGATGCTTACACAGGACAGAAAGAACAAGACCCTAAGAGTCTTATGTTGCGTTACTACTAGAGAAGGCAAATTAAGTGTTTTGATTTGCTCAAAAAATGGACTCTTTGCTTAAGTCAAATTTGAGTTAATGATAGTATCAGTCACACTGCTATGTTAATATATATTTCAGTACAATACTTTCAGATTATCTGGTTGAGTCATATCAAGTATACCACAAATTAAATCAACAACATAAAGCTGGGTGATGATAATAGCTGTCCATTTAAAAATACTCTTCACAATTTCACTTCAAAGTTTATACAGCAGGTAGTTATGAAAAACTGGGAGAGACTAGTATCAGAGGGGTAGCCGTGTTAGTCTGAATTTGTAAAAAGCAACAGAGGGTCCTGTGGCACCTTTAAAACTAACAGAAGTATTGGGAACATAAGCTTTCGTGGGTAAGAACCTCACTTCTTCAGATGCAAGATGGGAGAGACTGTGATGTCAAACTGTGAGAACAAAATTTAAGTGGATTGTGTACCTGTCAGAACTCCCAAAATGAACTCTCAGTCAAGTAGGTCTCTGCTTTCCTTCCCATCCAACTTCCCAAGGACTGCTCCTTATTGCAAGTTCCACAAGGTGCAGTTAACACTCATGCACTATAGTGTCCCAACAAGAAAATTCATTTTACCCAATGTGAATAGACTTCTATATACATTTATAATTAAAATTATTTTCTACTAGAGGGTAAATGATCCCATCAGTACATAGACAGGCAGTTGATGTACACATCCAGGGAAAAAGCATCACATAGGACTTCACCCAGACTAACCCCACCATATTAATCTAACTAACCTGATCTGCTTCGAAAGATTAATTTGAATCTATTGAACATAAATTGTCATACTTTAAAAATACACAATGAACAACTCCCCAACGACATACTACCAAAAATACTCTGGTTACATCAGTTCAAATGTTGTTACCTCAATGGAGAATTCTCGGTCTTCTTAAAACTAAAACCAATTTTCTACCTTTATTAATATGTAGCTATCAAGGCTGGTGGGATAAATTTTTATTTCATCCGTTTTGTTTTGATTGATGGATTCATGTTTTCTGCTGCTATGTATTCTATGCTTCAGGGGTATTAAGTCAATGTAACCCAATATGGTGCCTGCTCAAGAAGAAAGGAGCCGAAAGACACTCTCAAAGATAATGTGTATGTGCACGCAATCACAAGAACACAAAAAAATAGATAACTTACTTTAATTTAGCCACCTAGTGTAGAATTTTTTAAAAGGCTATAGCCTTTTTTGTAAAAAAAAGGCCACACATCTCATCAGCGAGAGACTTTGATGGTAAGAAAAAAACTGGAAAAAACAAAAGGAAATGTCTAAAACGTGTTGAAGATTAAACATATTAATGAAGAGTCTGTGACCCAAGAACCTGCCAGTTGGTATTGAGAAAGAGGTGTAGAGGTGTGTACATTCTAATTCACCAGAGAGCGTAAAATATATGTACAAATACTATGTAAGAAGTGCTATACGTACAGACTTTACGAATATATTTTCAGCGTGTAGTTACTGGTCACCAGCTAAGGTGACAAACATGTTTTCTGACAGACAAAAGATGTTTATTCATCTATCTGTTCACATGTATATTGAGTATTGTCTCATTCACAATAGGCTTCTTATCACCAGTCTGTGTTGAAAGCAAATGAAATATTGTAAGGACTTCAGAAAAAAAAAATGTAACAGGAAGAGAAAGGTTTGCTTAACTATGGGGGAAGGGGCACAGAGAAGACACACAGGCATCCTTCACTGAGGAAGTAGAAAAAGACAATGGGCTTGTTTCATGAAAAAAGTCTCAGCTAGCCTTGGTTGATAACACCAAAGAGAACTTTGGGAGCGAGAAAACTTCTTTTGATAGGTTAACCTGTTAGTTTAGTCTATAAAAATGTGTGTTATGATTCTGTTTCATATGTAATCATTTGTTTCCAATATTCTTACTCACTATTATTAGAATCTTGAATCTTTGACAATAAACTTATTCTTGTTTTCACTATAAATATATCCAAGTGCTGTGGTGTTATGCAAGGTGGTGGACCTTGCTGAAACTTACACAGGGAACACTGAGCCTGGTAATTCTGTGAATATTTAGTGGATAAGGGTCTAGGAAATGCTCGAAGGACTTGGCGGTTGGTGTGTGCCTATCTCAGCCTGTACAGAAAGAACAAGGCCTGTGGGAGCCTGGAAGATAGGATTTTGCTGTTGGAGGCTGTCGTTTTGAGGGAGCTGATCTGCAGCAGAGACAAGACTGCTTCATATGCTAAGGTGCCTCACGAACCTGGGTACCCTCGGGGAGCATCACAGAGTCCCAAAAAGAGGGGGTCGCTTGTAATAATATTAAGTTAAAGAGACAAGGTGGGTAAGGTAATATATTTTATTGGACAAACTTCTGTTGGTGAGACAGACAAACTTTTGAACTTACACAGAGTTCTTCTTCAGGTCTGGGCTTGTCTCTCACCAACAGAATCTGGTCCAATAAAAGATATTTCCTTACCTGCCTTGTGTCTCTAATATCCTAGGACCAACACAGCTACACCTGTACTGCATGCAAGATTAAATTAACACATTCAGATAGAAACATGTAGTTGATGGTCTCTCAAAGATACCATATTGAGAGCCCTGTACACTAAATTCCTGTATACTGGCTACCTCATAAGCTGTCTCTTTATACCAGGTCATGGCTGCTTAAATCAGCACTTTTGATCAGTTCTTAGAATTGATCTTTCAGGCTGAAAATAGAGCTTTTTTTGCATCATGCCCTTACTTTGGAACCTCGTCACTTTGGCAGATTGTCAGAACTGGTTTGGTGATCTGCAGGGTTCTGCTTCAAATTATTTCTATTTAGTCTGCTGGTTTATTGCTTTGTGCATGTGTGAGAAAGTTTGACTATTCAGATTTTAAAAAAACAGCGAAGGCATTTTTGCTGCCCATTTGGTGTAGCATCATGTACTTTCTGATGTTATTTTTGGTGACAGCGCTTAGCTGCAACGGGATAAAGACTTTCATTAATATTTAGCCAAACAAATACAATACGAGCAAAAAAAAACCAAAACCAAACCAAAACAAAACAAACAAAAAAACCACACAGCCCCTCCCACCAGGGGAATGAGACATTTACCCCTCCCCACCAGGCAACAGCAACAGGGGGAGAGCTATGGTACTGCCAATGTGCCTCAATCTTAACCTATGGCAAGATTTCAGTCTCCGTGGCCTAAATGGTTCTTTGCCGCTCCACTTTGACTGCCAACATTCCAATGGTGCTAAAAGTGCCATTGTAGATGATGGTTTGAGTGAGGTGAACATATATCCACTGAGAAATGGACTGAAGCCCTTATGCTGCAGTAAATTCTGTGCTGGCAGATAGATACCCACTGAAAATCAATCAGATTCTGCATGGACTGACTCTTGCTCCTACACAGCCTAAGTCAAGTCAATGTGGGGTCACTGACAAACACTGGAGGACTGGGGCCCAAAACCTCAAATTTATTTCATATAGGCTACCATTATATGGACAACCTGGGATGGATGTGAGCCAGCGATCAAGAGGTGAAAAAGATTAAAAATTTAAGAGAAATTTAAAAGCACGCACATAAACCAGGGTTTGATTCTCAGTCATTTTTCACCCACAAGTCCAATATTATCATTTTTTCCTTCATTTTGCCCCCACGTCAGTGTCATTTGCACCATTTCAGTCAAAAACTAAGAAGAGAGAAACAATATATGAAATTATGCAAAGTAATTGTGCCAGTTATGGCTAAAGACATTTACATTAACAGCATAAATATAATCATTTCATAGGTTAGGTTAAAAAACCTCAAACGCATCAGTGTGAACTGCTGCCCTTCCTTCTGGTTAAATGTAAGAAATGCAACTTTACACTATAAAGATTTTGCAGATACAGATCCACCAGTCTACTTATGCTGGCAAAGCCCCCTAGTGGAGATGCAGCATATACCAGCAAAAGGAATTATTTTGCTGGCACTGTGTAGCTAGCTGAACAACTTCCCCAAAAGACATAAGCTGTGCCAGTATAAACTGCATCTGCATTGGGAGGGGAGGGAGGGGGAGGGGGTGGGAAGAGAGGGAGAGGAATGAGTGTGGGGTTGCCGGCATAGCTATGTTATTTAGGGGCATGTTTTTTCCCACGTGCCTAACCAACGTAGCCATGCCAGCAAAACTTTCTAGAGTAGACCCAGTAGGAGAACACTTCAATCTCCCTGGACATTCTATAACAGATTTAAAAGTAGCTATACTTGAACAAATAAACTTCAGAAACAGACGTCAAAGAGAAACAGCAGAACTAAAATTCATTTGCAAATTTAACACCATTAATTTGGGCTTGAATAGGGACTGGGAGTGGCTGGCTCATTACAAAAGCAGCTTTGCCTCTCCTGGAATTGACACCTTCTTGTCTATTATTGGGAGTGGACTACATCCACCCTGACCGAATTGGCCCTGTCAACACTGGTTCTCCACTTGTGAGGTAACTCCCTTCTCTTTATGTGTCATTATATAATGCCTGCATCTGTAATTTTCACTCCATGCATCTGAAGAAGCGAGGTTTTTTACCCACAAAAGCTTATGCCCAAATAAATCTGTTAGTCTTTAAGGTGCCACCACACTCCTTGTTGTTTTAATGGATACAGACTAGCACGGCTACCCCCGATACTAGAGTAGACCCGGCTTTCTGTGTGTGGGACAGACACAGCTCAAGGAGAGAGACAGGAAAAGAGACAGAAAGACTGAAGAGAGCAGATGACACACACAGAGCCTAGAGAAACTGGCAAGAGGCAGCTTGGGACTGCGAGCAAAGAAACTACCTCCTGTTATTTTTGGTTCCTCCTGTGTTTGGGGAAACAGGACTTCGCACATTCTAGGTACATAAATAATATGGCATCAAAGGTACCACCAGACTCTTTCATCAGTTCCTCCTGTTGGTGGAAACTCCCCACAGACCCTCAAAACTTGACTAACCACTCAGGTCAAAGGGACTAACAATATTTTAAAATTCAATCTGAAGTGATCATTCATATATTCTTATTGATAATGCCATGAATTGCATATTCCCCAGTGCTGCATATTCAAACTCAATGACTGCTGCTATTTCACAGGCAGAAAGGAGAGAAAGCTTTTGGTGAAAGTTTAATGTTTTTTACAAAATTGCAAATCCCAGAGAAAGCAACTCAGACCTATTTTAGGCCTGCATTCCCAAGGGCAAGAAACTACACCTGTTTTCTTCCCAACCCTCCTCAAAGTAGACTGCCCTAGGAGGTGCTGAGCCTCACTTTCTGTATCTCACCCGTCCCCTATACACAAGGAGAGAAGGGTGTAAATCAAGGAACTTGAGCACTTGTGCTTAACCAAGAGGTGTAAACTCCTAGTTTCCCATTTTCCACTTCCAGCATGATGCTAAACTTCCACTTCTGGACCTCACCAGACTCCCATCCACCAGCCAACACCTAAAGGTTTATTAGCATACTCGCCCTGATGCCCTCCC